GTATTCACATCTACAACCTTACTCCCTACCTTAGAGAAAACAGGTATTCACATCTACAACCTTACTCCCTACCTTAGAGAAAACAGGTATTCACGTCTACAACCTTACTCTCTACCTTAGAGAAAACAGGTATTCACATCTACAACCTTACTCCCTACCTTAGAAAAAACAGGTATTCACGCCTACAACCGTACTCCCTACCTTAGAGAAAACAAGTATTCACGTAATTTTAGTAATACTCGATTCAAAGTGGCATGTCCAATTCACAATGGTAAGCTTGAAAGATTTGTCTGATTAAAGATGAATTATTTTTTTATGTTTTCTGTTAAAAATGAGATTTGCGGTTTTTTGCTACTGCAAATCACCCGAACTAAGCATTTTTCTAACCAGGAAATGAGACGATTTGTTTCGATAAAGGTGAAAGGATACCCTGTGGAAAAAGGCATAACCCTTTTTAAATGTATGGTCACTAAAAAACATGACAGTCTATTCAACAGGCAATGAGTAGGAATTTATATGTATCTACATTCTACATGTTGGAACTCGGTAGTGTTGAACCCATTTTAGTTGATAATTCCGGCACAACTAAGAAAATTGTTTAAAAAGAATATTTCTCGAAATAAATATATATTTTTTAGAAAAAGTTTTTTTTAGTAAAAATGTTTTTTTTAGGTTCCCCGGCCAAGTGTGGAGTGTGCCACCGTGTTTGTAACACAGAAGATTTGAAGAGATATCATAAACTTATTCATTCTACTCAGTTCAAGCAGGGTCAAGACCAGGTAACTAGTTAGTTAAAGGGTGCAGGGTGTTCAAGAATAAATGTTCAGAGGTGCAGGGTATCTACAAATGAATGTTTAAAGGTGCAGGGTGTTCAAGAATAAATGTTCAGAGGTTCAGGGTGTTCAAGAATAAATGTTCAGAGGTGCAGGGTATCTACAAATGAATGTTTAAAGGTGCAGGGTGTTCAAGATTAAATGTTTAGAGGTGCAGGGTGTTCAAGATTAAATGTTTAGAGGTACAGGGTGTTCAAGAATAAATGTTTATAGGTGAAGGATGTCGAAAAATAAATGTTATGAGGGGAATAGTGTTTGAAAATAAATGTTCAGGGGTACAGGGTGTTCCAGAATAAATGTTCGGGGAGCAGGGCTTCATGAATACATTTTTGTAATCTTTATTTTTGCAGAATAAATATTGTTTGATTAGGGAACCTGTATTCTGTGTGGGAAACAAGTAAAGAAGGATTATATTTTTCATCATTTGAGGTAATTTGTAAACACATATTGGATTATTTAAAATAATTATATAAACAAATTTTAGCAATCTGGCGATACAAAACCTCAAAAAAATTTCCTTTTGATTTTCATACTTATTGTGGGAAAATAAAATATAGAATCTTCTTAAAATAAAAGAAAGAAGAAACTTGAATATAACTTATAAAATATACTTTTGGAAAACTGTTCACCCATTTGAAATAACAAATTTTTTTTATTTGGAAACCCAACTAAGGAAATTGTATTGCTCTATGATGTCCATGATCAAAAGGGTAAATAATCGACATTTTCTGTCAATTAATTTGGTGTTTTTATCAGAAACGTAGTTTCATAAAATATTTTATTTAATTTTGATGTAATTTATCCCACCTAATATTTCCCGTTGTAGGGTGAACAAGTGACTTAATCACCCTGCAACAGAACTTTTTCACCCTGTTATTAAAATTTTAAATTTCATTCCTAATTTGTCTCATTGTAGGGTGATTAAACAGGGTGATTAAGTAACTTTATCGACCTGGTTTTAAATAATTTGAGTAAAACTGAATAAAACTATCATGTTATTGTCATGCGTACGAAAAGTTTTTGCTGTGATTTTTAATTTTTCTAGTTTGTTTTCGAACAAGATTAAAGTATTTTCACACCTCACTAAAAAAAAAATCGCGACAAAATTTTTTTGCACTATTATTACAATACCCATTACAAAAGCGCTTTTTTATCGCATTAAGCCTATACCCCCTTTCATTTTTCGCGAACACTCCCTTTAAATAGATATAATTTTTTCATTCAATAACTATAGGGAGGTGCATTTTGTGGGAATGAATAACAAGTACAGCTGCAACACATGTGGCATGAATTTTGTCCGGAAAGAAAAATATGAAGGTAAGACTAATTGTGTTTTTAAATTTCGTCCTTTATTTGTAAAGATGTTATTGATCTGTTTTTTAAAAGAGTCCAGGAAGAAAGCATCATTACCGGAGTGCTACCGGAGACCCCGTCCAACCGGAGACCCCGGCATTTTCAACGGAGACCCCAAATAAAATAGTCAAAATTTTTGAAAATTTTAAATGCTCTTGATTGTATTAAATGTTAAAAAATTTGTTTTATCATAAACTTTTGCATTTGGATATAGTTTTATGCATTTTATAGACAAACAGAGGAAAGATTACAATTTTATATAAATAGAAAGATATCCAGGAACAAGAGGAGAGGTGGGTTGGGGTGAGGGGGGGTTGAACATTCAGGAGACAGGTAGAGGGTGGAGGGCGGAGGATAATTTTTATATTTTTTAAAATTTTGTAGATTTCTTTGTAAATGCATAAAATAATATCCAAAATTAAAAGTTTATGATAAAATGAATTTATATAGGTTTTTATGCCATAAAAAGCAATAAACATTTTCAAAATGTTAATTATTTATTTGGGGTCTCCGATGAAAACTTCAGGGTCTCCGTTGACAATGTGGGGGTCTCCGGTATGGTAGTGGTTGGGGTCTCCGGTACCACTCCGATGATGCTGCTTTCTTCCTACACTCAAAATATAAATTTAGCTTGACAGTAGCCGTAGATTGAATGTATTGTTCATTCTTTCTTTTAACTAAGAATTGTATTTTTGTAAACATTTGTAATTGTATAACTGATGTTTGTTTAACATTTGTTGTGTCCACTTTTAGGAATAAATAGGTAAAAAAATATCAAATCCTGCGCGTCATTCTAAATTTAAATGACAAAAGGCAAGAAGACCAGTTTCATATATTTGTTTTCTGGTTACCACTAAATACCTACGTGAATAATATCCGTGTAATATCCAATATCTGTTTCTCAGACATAGGGTTGTCTTTCATTTAGATTTGATTTGATTTGATTTGATTTGATTTGATTTGATTTGATTTGATTTGATTTGATTTGATTTGATTTGATTTGATTTGATTTGATTTGATTTGATTTGATTTGATTTGATTTGATTTGATTTGATTTGATTTGATTTGATTTGATTTGATTTAATTTAATCAAGTGATGGGGGGGGGGGTTGATCTTCTTGTTTTAATTTAACTTTAAATGGTTTGATATAAGTTGCGAATCATTCTAAGTTGAGTTACTCATTGACTAGTCATTGTGATTTTAACTTGTCGCAAACCAGTGTTTATTTTACCGTAGAAGGGAAAACAGTCACTTTTATGGATTTCCGAATTTGAAGGAAAATAGATGGACTAAAAGTTAAGAATTCACTTGAAATAAAAGAGTTAGTAGAAAATGAAGTGTTTACTATATTCCAATGCAATATTCGTGATCAATTTATTTATTTGGATTTTTTGATTACTTGCATTAAAAAGTGTGTTACAGAGTAAATTTGTTAATTGGTCTAATTAAACGATTGTCTATGGATTTTTTTTAAGTGTTTATTAAATTTTTGAATCTTTCAATTTAATATCTTACGTTGATAAATTGTAGAATTAACGGTATCTACAAATGAATGTTTAAAGGTGCAGGGTGTTCAAGATTAAATGTTCAGAGGTACAGGGTGTTCATGCGGATCCTAAAACTTGATAAACCATTCAGAAATGAGGAAATTATATAATCTCTTTTTTTTCAAAAGTTCAGATTGGGGTTTTAGGAGCAAAGTTTAACGTTGATAAATTGTAGAATAAACAAACCCTTATTTTAAACTGTATTCTGTCACTCCCAATCTAATATCTTACGTTGATAAATTGTAGAATAAACGAAACTTTATTTTAAACTACTTCTGTCACTCCTAATATCTTACGTTGATAAATTGTAGAATAAACGAAACTTTATTTTAAACTGTATTCTGTCACTCCCAATCTAATATCTTACGTTGATAAATTGTAGAATAAACGGAAACGCCTCAAAAAAAAACGGAAACGCCTCAAAAAAAAAGAGGAAACGCCTCAACAAAAAAAAGTTAAAAAATTTTTTTTTTTTTTATCAGTGCTGACAAGCTTTTTAAAAATTTTCACAGAAATTTGAAAATCAAATCGAAAACCGATGACATGACATCCCATGTTTACTATTTAGTTATCAAATTAGAAATCATAAGGCAAGTTTTTTTTCATCCTCTTTTATACTTTTCATCCGAAAATTCATATTTATTCCTCGTAAATATAAATAAAACCTTAACAAATTGTTGGTGCTCTGCGCAAACACACCTAACGTCTGGAAAAATTGTTTTATTGGGGGATTACTATTTTTTTTTTAAATCGCGCAAGTTAATTAGATTTTTTTTGTCTGTATGAAAGGTCACATGAGTAAAGTTCACGGAGCTCCCATGAGATACATCTGTAATATTTGTGGAAAACTGTTCAGCATAAATTCAGACTTATACAAACATAGAAAACAGGTAGAAATATAAAAAAATATCAAGAATTAAGAAACTACCTGATTCATTCATGATAATATTATTCATAAAAAATAAAAGATAGTAGCAAGGTGGTTTCATTAAATATAATAGATAAAGTCAGGCAATATTTTTTAACATGCAGAGGTAGGCGATATCAATTAATGAAGACGACTTTTTAATTTACGTTAACAAGCTTTTTCAGAATTACAAGTTTACAAGTAATTAAAGAAAAGCTTTTTAAATTAACAACTTCTATTTTTTTTCATGTTTTTTTGTATCCATGCTGTTTAAAAGCTTGATATAAATCAAAATGTAAATCGAAAGTCGTCTTCATTTGATTGATATAATCGTCTACCACCGTAGTATAAAAAAAAAACATTTTCAACACAATAAGAGACGAGAATGCAGTGAGTTAATTTCACTAAATATTACAGGTTCATTTTTCTCTGCCCGACCTTCCCTGCACTGTGTGTGGAACTCTATTCAAAACTAAGGAATAGACCCTTAAAATGTAAATACATATATGTTTAACCCTTAAATTTAAAGGGACTCCCAACTGTACTCTGAAAAGCTTTGTCCGACCAAGTATGAATTAGATTTCCATGTTTATTAAAACTATCTACTTTCATTTATAAAGTGTTTTGCGCATTTTCTATTTCAAAAACAACGTTATCTTCCACATTATTGATCAGATTAAGTTTTCTAGAGTATCGTTGTGAATTGGGCATTCCCCTCTGAAATTGGAGGGTCGCTTTCACTCCTCACTTTCATCCCTGACACCTCCATTTTAAATGTTTTAAATGAGGTTCTTCCTCCAGTGGCCGAATTTAAAGAATTTGAGCGGCGGTTTAAATTTAAGCCGCGGTTTAAATATGGTTGGTTCCACTTAAAATTGTGTCAAATATTTCAAGATTTAAGCCGGCGCTTAATTTAAAACGGGTTTTGGCGGATTTAAACCGCGGCTCAAATTCTTTAAATTCCATCTCAGGTAGAAATTCTCATTTTCTATACCACAAGGGGTTCTTTCTAGGAGCGACTGAAACGTCATCAAGTGTCGCATCTTGCAACAAAACCCTGGAATTGTGATCTATGTGGGAAATGCTTTACACGCAAAGACAAGTTGAACGCGCATACAAAAACCATTCATAATTCTGGAAGCCTTCAGAAGAGCCAATAGTTTGAGTTTAAAGGAACTAGAGGCGTAATTTCAAGTGACTCTTAATTGAATAAGTGGCCAGTCGAATTTACAAAGACGTCATTTAGAACATTATCTTTTTTAGTAATTCTGACTTTTCTTTATTGTCTGTGTTGCCTAAATCCGCAAGTCACTTTTGTAGAGAATCCACAACTATAATCAATTATTATTATTATTATTAAAGATTTATTCACACACATTTAATATACATACATATATTACATATTACATATATTAATGGTATAGTTTAAATTTGTTTTGTTAAAACTATAGTGAAGTATTCATACATGCATACATTATATTTGCCATTCTCAGTCTAGATGTTTCACTAATTGTCATTAAATATGTAAAAAATAAAAAATTACGAGTTTTACACCTAAAAATTTGGGGATTTCTTGAAATTGTTAATCTTAGATATTAAAGGGACTGAATCACTATAGTTTCAGAAGAAGTAAATATTTCCATTTATAGAAAGCGCCGATTGAAGGATTGATATCTCTAATTGGATAATGAGATGTTACCACCATACTATTTAATTATTAAAGATTTATTCACACACATTTAATATACATACATATATTACATATTACATATATTAATGGTATAGTTTAAATTTGTTTTGTTAGGAATGATATTAAATGTATTCATTATTCACTCTCATAATCTCCAATTTCATAAACCTGCTATTTTAAAGAAATCTATAGTCAGACTTTTGATAATATTTTTCTTTCAGGAATAAATTCCTTGCACTTAAAAAGTTGATTCAGGAAAAGTATCAAATTTTGGTAACAATAAAAATGTAAGCAATATTTAGAACAGGTCAGCTCGTAATTAAAACATATTCTAACTGCATACAGACTTTTTCAGCATATTCTTGATATTTCTAGTAGACTTGACATCCACAATAATCAGAGGGTGTAAACCCATTCTTGATATTTCTAGTAGACTTGACATCCACAATTATCAAAGGGTGTAAACCCATTCTCGATGTTTCTAGTGGATTTGACATCCACATTTATCAAACGGGAACCTAAAAGGTTTCCTCTCGAACCTACAAGTTCTATAAGTGATTCGGCCCTATTCTATTGGTTCAGAATAGACAACAAACACATGACTGCACCCTGATTGGATCAGGCGCTAATTGACTCGGCATACAGGNAAGGGAGTAGACCCATTCTCTATTTGTCTAGTAGACTTGACATCCACAATAATCAAAGGGAGTAGACCCATTCTCTATTTGTCTAGTATACTTGACATCCTTTCTCGATGTTTCTAGTGGATTTGATATCCACATTTATCAAGCGGGAACCTGAAAGGTTTCCTCTCGAACATACAAGTTCTATAAGGGATTCGGCCCTAGTCCTCTAATAATTAGCAAACATTTTGCATGCTTTCCTACAGAGAGAGGTGTTGACTCCTCAACTGCTCTCAACTAATTGGATAGTAAAACTTGGATATGGCATTGGTTGATGATCTCTACGTTTCACTCGGTGATCCTGAGCCCATTTGAAAACACCTCAGGATTTTGTTCCTATTTAGAGACTTTTGTGTACCTATAATCCTTTGTCCGCCCCTAGTTAATATTCTTGTCACATCGATGAAAAAAAAACTCGATTTTTTTGCCAATTTGAAATTTTTAAGTGTTCTAAAATTCCGCTGGCAGCGCCGGTGTCCTGCATGGAGGTAAAGGCAAAAATAGTTTACTTCCTCTTGAATGTCGTCTTCCTTTCAAATCATCAAATAATTAATATTTACTCGAGACATACATACATTTTAACGTGTTTTTCTAATTAAAATACATAAAGAAATATCGGAAAATGTCATGACATTGCTTTTTATGTCTTAACATTGTGTTGAAATGGTCAAAAATTTAGCAGGAGTCCGCTCCATGCATTACACCGGGCCCTTCAGCTAGTAGAACACATGTTAAAATCATGTTGTTATCAAAAATATTTAATATTTAATGTTAGCTAGTTATTTAACACTGTGATATTTTTAACTGATCTCAAATCCTGAATTTACAGAATAATGTTGAGCAGACCTTCTCGCCTTGTCTTCAATATCGGCAGCAGAGGAGGTAATCTAAATATATACTTTGCTTAATTGTCTGTTTGTTTGTCTCTTTGTTTCCAATGAACGTCAAAATGACCGAACCGATCGGGTCCGAAGTGTGTGTGGGACCTCACATAACCTTGTGAAGGTTAATGGAGCTTTGAAATTGTGGGAAAAAATCCTGGAAAATAGGAAAGGGGTCGCGAAGTGCCCTAAAAGCATAAAAGAAAAATTTAGGACTAGAATGTGGATATCATGTTAAATATGAAGCAATTTTTTACACATTGCCTATATTTAAGTTAAACAAAATCGGAAAAACAGAGATTTTAATCTTTCATAAAATTAATTTTTTAAAGCCGAACTTTTTAGGGCAGCTGAGCCGTGCTGTTGTACGGCAGCGAACCTCTGCAGCACACTTGCGTACAACAGCAGTACAGTCAGAGTTCAGCAGATTGGCGCATTCACTGCCTGCTTCTTATATCAAGTAAGTGTGGGGCAGTTCAGAGGGTTAAAATAAGAAAATATGAAAATATTTTTTTAAAATTTAATTCTCTTTAAATTGGACTTAAAAAAAGATTTTGAAATGATTTTTGTTTCATGAATACAAATTTGAATATTTGAATTTCAACATGAAATTTCCAAATGCATCAATATAGAAGGCAGATACTTTCCAAATCGCAGTTTCGGTTCACCGACATAGGGTCAAACAACCCTGGGACTAACGACATAGGGTCAAACGACAAACGGTCAAAAAAGCGACAAAAGGTAAAACGACAAGGGGTCTAAATGGAAAAAAAATATTTTATGTATTATTTCAGGGTTAGGTTAGGTTAAGACAATTTCTGTGCCAAGCGCTGCGGCGAGAACAGGCTAGGGGACCAAGCACTGACGCTAGTGTTTCAAATTAACATTAAATATTACATAAAAAAATGTATTATTTCAGGGTTAGGATAGGGCTAAGACTAGTTCTGGGCCGAGCGCTGCGGCTTCTTGTTCTAATGAACATAAAAATAATTCAAACTAACCAAAAAAAAAGTCTAAACGAAATTTTGCCTGTTTGTTGCATTTTTGACCCTATGTCGTTTTACCCTTTGTCGCGTCTTTTACCTTTTGTTGTTTGACCCTATGTCGGTGAATCGCATTTTCCCAACGGCAACTTATTCTTTTCTAGTCACAGCTCTTGGCCTCTTCACATTGCTGTGCCTCAGAAGACCTAACCTAACCTTTGGGAAATTTCCGCGTAGGAAATAATCGCGTGGGAAGTGACCCTTAAAAAATTCCTTTGGGAAAATATCAAACACCATAATAAAACCTCTTCAAAAATGTCATAATATGTATTTGAAGTAAGGAAAGATTTTAAGTAAAATAAATATTTATTTGTTTAGAGTGAATAAATGGAACAAGGCAGTTACAGAGGCTGAGAAACTAGTTGGCTATCCAACTTCATACATGTCTCTTAGGTAAAAAAAAAAAAAAAAATATGTTCTCTAATGTTAAGCAAATTTATTTGTTAAGATCTCTTATGAGTGATGATATCACAAACATGGCGGTACATATGAGGAAAATTGTAGGTAAGCTGTATTTTTCAAACTTCTTAATTGGTTCATTTTGGTTTGGTTGATTGAGTGGTGGATTGATTGAGGGATTAGATTGATTTGTTGCTTGATTGATGGATTGCTTGATTGATGGATTGATTGATTGATTGTCTAATTTATTGGTGGATTGATTAATTGATTAAGAGAATAAAACTGGTTGTCTGATATGAAGATTTAAGTAGATATGAATTTATTGGGCGATTGACTTGTTGATAGCAGATAGGAAAAATGAAAACATCCTGTATTTATTGATCAAGGGATATATTTTACTATTTGATTGATCGTTGATTTTACTAAAAAATCAAAGATCTTACTATAAAAAGTTTCATAATATTCTTAACTTAATATTATTACGTCTTGAATCACTTTTGTTTTTAAATTATGCAAAAAAATATTTAAATTATTTAACCCCTATTAAGGATCTGACCATCCTGTTTTGAAAACGGCTAAGAGACTTCTCTACTACGGGAAAAATAATATGCAGGTTATCATTATTTTTTTCTTTTCTTTCAAAATTCAAATGATTAAATTTAGAATCACAGAAGTTATTAAGTGAAGGTTCTAAAAATAAATCGATAAATGAGATCCATTTTTTAAGGCAAAGAATCTTTGTTTTAAAGTTTGCTGCCAGGTGTTGTTTTAAATCTGCACAGAGACGTTTTTCAGTAAAGGGTTTAAAAATAAATCAATAAAATGAGATCCGTTTCTTAAAGGGACTGTAAAGGAAAAATGAAAGGGGGTATAGGCTGAAAGCTAATCACTTTAGCTCTCGATCGCGACCCATGAAAGTTATATCTGATGTTCCTATCTCGAGAAACTGATTTACAACTTTGTCAAATTTATACGAAAATTAATATATATACAATTTTGTATAAAAGCAGTAGGTTTAAAAAGATCAAATTCAGCAACTTTCGTATAATTTTAACACAGTTTTATATCAATTTCTCGAGATAGGAACATCAGATATAACTTTCATGAGTCGCGATCAAGAGCTAAAGTGAATAGCTTTCAGTCTATACCCCCTTTCATTTCTCCTTTACAGTCCCTTTAAGGCAAAGTATCTTTGCTTTAAATGGAGAAAGCATTGTTTTTATCTTTTAAGTATACTAAGAGCGTTTGTATGTTATTTTAAAAAAAATCAAAATATCTGAGTATTTTAGTTTAAAAAAGAAAGAGATAAGGAAACCATATCGGCGTTGAAGTCCAATTGTTTTGTTCCCGTCAAATTATTTTAAAAAAATATATTTTCCCCCTTCAAATATGAATTCTTTAAATCATATATTCCTGAAGTATTGATGTGTTAAGGTGCGTGGACTACTTGTCCTCCTTCTCTCTAGAGCTGCTGGGGATAGAAGAGGTGCTCAGGAGGCTAACTTTACATCAGAGATTATCGACGAACAGAGGAAGGTATAGTGGACGGAAATAGGGGGGGGCAGTTTTATTGAGTTTAGGCAGACTGAGAATTCAGATCTGTGTGTGTGGGGGNGGGTTGCAAATTATTTTCAAGTGAGACAGGTGGTGTAAAAACTTGATTCTTGTTCCGAATGTTTACTTTAAAACAAAAAATTAAATTTGAGAAATTTTAAACAAAATGAAAAGGTACATTGTTTTGTGTTTACTTCATGGATTCTATTAATTTTAGCTTGCGGAGATAGTTGAGATGATTTACTCTGCTCAGAATATTCATCAATCTGTTGTAAACATTCCTGTCAACATCCAGCTAGAACCTGATCTAGAGGTTGATTATTTATTTTATACCCCAGTTCAATATTATTTTCCTTGCTAACATTCCTGTCAACATCCAGCTAGAACCTGATCTAGAGGTTGATTATTTATTTTATACCCCAGTTCATCATATTATAAACCTTGATAACATAAGCGTCAACATTCAGTTGGATTTAAATCTAGAGGTTGATTATTTATTTTATACCCCAGTTCAATATTATTTACCTTGGTAACATACGCGTCAACATTCAGATGGATTTAAATTTATTTTATACCCCTTACTCATCATATTATTTCCCAGATATACAGTACTTTTTAATGAAACTACATAAAACAATTTAATCACATGTAAATTCTCCCACCTGATTGCAAGCGAAAGGGAATGTGAATGTGAATGTGAATTTAGATCAATCTTAAGATTTTGGATTTTTTAAAATTATTTTGTTTATAAATTAATTAAAGTTGATTTGATTTGATGATGATCCTAACCTCATAAATTAAATAAAGTAGGTATTAGTTCCACATTTAAAAGAAGTTTATTTCGAAGTGTGTTGACCCTCGTCAGTTCTTAAGATTTGTCATGAAGATTCAGAACAAACTAGTTTCTTCTTCATTCTGAAACTATCTAACATGATGACAATATTAGATCCGGAATGTACTTGGTCAGCTAGAGTATGGAAACAAGATTTCAATCCTATCTGGAGATTATCTTCTAGCAAATGCTTGTACTGGGTTAGCAGCGCTAAGGTCAGTTAGCTTTTATGGATTGGTGATTAAATGTATTGATATTATTGTGATTGATTGATTGATTGATTGTAAAAAGTGATAAAAAGCTCAGAGCTGGTTCATTGGTTGGTTGATTTACTTATTTATTTGTTGATTTATTAATTGCTTTTTTGATAGATAGATTGATTGATTATTTGACAAATTGATTGATATTTACCAATATAAGTTTGATTGATTAACTGATGGTTCGATTGATTAATTGATGGTTTGTCAGGATCACCAAGATCGTGGAGCTGGTTTCTGTTGCGATTGTTGAGTTCACTCAAGCAGAGTTTCTTGGAGTACAAGACCCTATGGGTCGTGGAATACCTACTCCAGACTACCTTACCCAGGTAACTAAAAACTACTCCATACTTCATACTGGACATGGTATCGACAACCAGACTACCAGGAAAGATTGCCAGTTACCTACTTCAGATCACTAGGTATCTACTCCAGATTGCCAGGTATCTACTCAAGATTACAAGGTATCTACTCCAGATTACCTGGTATCTACTCCAGATTACCATGTATCTACTCCAGATTACCAGGTATCTACTCCAGATTACCAGGTATCTACTCTAGATTATCAGACATCTACCCCAGATTACGAGGTATCTACTCCAAATTACCAAGTATCTACTCCAGACTAACAGGTATCTACTCTAGACTACAAGGTACCTACACATAACCCTAAATTTAAAATATATAATTTAAAGTATTATTTACGGCCGTGAGGAACTTTTTATTTAAAAATTGTAATTTTTTTTACTTTTTAACCAACTCTTTTCTATAAAACTTTTGTCTTTGATGTAATTGTTCGTTACTAAGAACGGAACGGGGGATGGAAACGTTCTTAATTAAGAACAGAACAAGAGGGATGAAACCATTCTTCAACTATATAAGAACGCCAAGAACGGAACGGAACGGGAAGACCGTTCTTCTACTCAGAACGGAACGGAACGAGAACGGAACGATAAAAAAAGAGGAACGAGAACGGAACGATTTAGCTGAAGGCCCTCGTTCTAGAACGGAACGGAACGATTTCAAAAAAGTCGGAACGTGCCCAGCCCTAAAGGTACCTTCTCCAGAATACCTGGTATCTACTCCAAGACAACCAAGTGTGTACTACAGACTACCAGGTACCTTCTCCATATTCCCAGGTATCTTCTCCAGACTACTAGGTACCTACTCAATACTACCAGGTACCTACTCAATAATACCAGGTACCTACTCCAATTACCAGGTACCTACTCCAATTACCAGGTACCTACTCCCTACTACCAGGTATCAGACTCTTTTCTGTATAGTTGATATCGTTGAGTTTTCTTTTTGAACATGTTATTGTTTGATGCCTGATGCCACGAACAGGACAAATTGCCCATCCATCAGATTAATTTGTTCGCTGCATTTTGACTGATGTTTTGTATTTGTTAAGGAACACTGGGAAAAGAAATGGAGACTAAGCACTGGCAGTTTACTAGGTTAGTTTAATTTATGTTCATAACTTTAAAAAATAATTATTTTATTTTAAAATGGGGTTAAATAAGGGTTAAAGAAATGAATTAAAATTGTTTTAGGAGCTGGATGTGAAAGTGCCATGCTTGTAGCTGAACAAGAGGAGAGTGTGCAGTTGGCAGCCAAGTAATTTTATTTAACAATTCAAAAATCTTTTTGATTTAAACGATATATATATATATACGTTTGTCTAGACAATTTCAAATTCACTTAGACAGAATTAAAGCTGGTAATGATATCATATTTCGCAACTTTTAACAAGATGAGAACTGAAATACGGCTTGATTGGTTTGAACTGGGAATCATTAATAGCCCAGAATTTAGAATTTCTATGCAGATCAAGCATCCATTTTATACAGACTTACGGACAGTGCTTAGGATACGGATCCAAATCCGGATCTGTTAGATTCGAAGATTTGGACTTCCTGGATCCAGATCCGCAAAAATATGTGGATCCACGTATCCGGATCCAAGGGCAAAAATATCAACTAAAAGCTGCAAAAAAATATTTTTTTACTCTCAAGACCCAAATCTGAACTATCAAAAAAGAGAGATTATAAAAATTTCCTGATTTCTTAATGGGTCATCAAGATTTAGCATAGAAATAAGCGAAGAAATTAAGACAAAAAAATTGAAAATTCTGCTTTGTTAAAAAATTCATTAAATTTTAAAGAAATCATCTGGATCCGGATTTAGATCCGGATCCATTTTTTCCAGTGCGGATCCAGGATCCGGATCCACATCAAAATTGAATGGATCCTAAGCACTGCTTACATATTAATTAAATTCATCTTGGATTTGGTTTTACTCTGAAAGGAAAAATAAAATGAAGGAATAAAACATTGATCCCCAAATTTTACAGTGCCGACTTAATATCGATATCAATGCGTTGCAATTCAAATTCCTTTTACTTGTAGACAGCTTGGTATCTACACTGCCCTGGCTATTCAAGCCCACGATGAAATGAAGCTCTTTACAGTTGACGGAGGGTTAGGTATAAACATTTTTTAATCCCTCATTTCATAAAAGCGCCAGTTTTGCCCTTGGCGGTGAGACAAATTACTTGATCAAAACCTGGCAAAATATAGTTGTTAAATATTTAGGTTATGGATCTCCTTTCTCCCTGTGTAGTGCCCCAGTAATATTCCATCTTCAATCAGATCCTCAACTTCTAGACTACATTCAGCAATACAACACAGATCTAAGCCAGGTATACTAGAGTACATTCAGCAGTACAATACAGATCTAAGCCAGGTATACTAGAGTACATTCAGCAATACAACACAGATCTAAGCCAGGTATACTTGAGTACATTCAGCAGTACAATACAGATCTATACCAGGTATAGCAGAGTACATCCAGCAGTACAATACAGATCTAAGCCAGGTTTACTAGAGTACATTTAGCAGTACAATACAGATCTAAGCCAGGTATAGCAGAGTACATCCAGCAGTACAATATAGATCTAAGCCAGGTATACTATAGTTGTTAACATAAATTCGAAATATAAGGAAGACGATTGTACCGACTCAAATGCCGATGCCTATTTTCAAGACGTGTTTATCCATTTCCTCCATGTAGTGGCCACATGTCAAATCCCCGCTCATCCCAGCTCCCGCCTCACCCCAGCAGTCAGCCGAATACATCTGAGATGATCACAACTCAGTCTCAGAGAGCTAACCTGGCTCCTGCATGTTGTTAATATAGATACTTGAGCAGCAGCAGACGATGCTTACATCCAGCCCATCAAAATGTTCCAAGAGTTCTAAGTATTTGCGGCCGAACGGAAAGGAAATATCCGGACTGAATATATTTCCCTCCCCGGAGTTCCGACGGGCCTACTCACCCACTCTCCTCCACAAGAGGATAATCTCAACTCTAAAGAGTTTACTAATCGAACCTGGAAGTTTTGTTGGGGATTATATATCCTACGAGAGCCTGGAGAGAGCAGAAACTTGTTGTTACAGTTTTGGTTGATCTGCACTACCAACATGAAGTTCTACATAGCTCACTTGAAGTTGCTACTGATTGTCAATTTATAGTTTCCTTATTGATTTCTAAACCAACCAATTTTAACCCCACTTGGGAAACTATTTCATAACCTTTCGTTTTATTAAATAAAGATTAGAAATACCATTAGATCTCTTTCATTTTATCATATTGACTTTTAAAGTCAACAAGAGTACATTCAGCAGTACAATACAGATCTAAGCCAGGTATACTAGAGTACAATCGGCAGTCAATACAGATTTAATTCAGGTATGCTAGTGTACATGCAGCATTACAATTAGTAAGTAAAAAAAATTTTAAAATCCAGCAGCAAAACATAAATGATTTAAAATCTTTTGAACAAATTACGCAAAGCGTTTTTGGTCTGTAATTCTGCTTGGTTATCAAATTTTCACTATTTTAAAATTTCACTAGTTTAAAAAAGATAATCTTCTAAAAAAGCCATGGTTTTTTGTGTGAAAATTTCGCATTTAAGTTCACTTTTGTATAAAATCTTGTCATGTACGATAATGCCAATCTGAGAATTCCATGATTGGTTCTTTTTGATCTTTTTTTAGTACGTTGTGTTATTCTTTAGGTTGACTATAAGCGTGTTCTAAACAGTGTGCTTGAAGGAGATGGATTAGAGAAAACACGTGACATATGCCAGAACTACGTAGACCTGGCATTGAAGGAGCTTAGGTGGACATTTTTTACGTTTGTTTTTTCAATTTTTTTATTTTTTCAGCACCATGCTCTTGGTAATTTTGAAAATTATTCGGCGCCTCCGACATGTTGCCAAATTATCGGCCCAATTGTTTTTGTGCAGTTAAACTCAACTTGTTGAACCTCTGATTTAACAATTCAAGCAAGGTTTCAGCATGTATAATGTATAATTGACACAGCTAGATTGTTGCTGGTTAACCTTGGGTGTTGGAAAACAACTTTTAGTATGGAGTGTGGAGTGTGGGGGGGGGGGGGAATACCGCAACTATTTATTGTGACGCCATCAAAACTCTGTTTGTGGTAAGCGCACGTAACAATTGTTTTATGTTACATCAATAAAAAGGCAGACCACATCTTGGAAATGGCAGGATTATTTTGTTGTTATTGTTTCATCAATCATATTTATAAAATTACACTGTAAAGTCTTCTTTTAATTGTAAATTAATTTCGGGTCTTTCTGATTCGGACTAAAGTATTTTAATTTATTTTTAATACATTGTTTTTAGGAATTTCCCTGACAATGAAGGAAGACAAGGTTTCAAAAACATTCTCCTCTCTCTTCTCTAAATTGGGTCTTCTGAATTCAAGATCTGAACTGGTTCTGCTAAATCTGGTTGACGAGATCTAAACTGGGTCTGCTAAAGAAAATTTTCAATATTTATACCTAGTTTACAGAATCTAAAATGGTGGCCATTTTCTAAGACGTTCTACCATAGGAAGAACCATAGTCACACTATGGTTTCGCTTTACCAGAGCAGTGTAGATAGCTAGAAACGACCTATAGTTGTACCTATGGTAATATGAATAAGAAATTGGCCATAAGTCTGTTTTACTTTAAATTCACAAAATACTACATTAAGAAAAGTTTTATATTGCGTTTCTTCTCTTTATAAGGTTGAAAATCTACTTACATTGTTTTAATGTTTGTTTATATTATTTTTTATTAAAATTTTTATGACTTTTCATGAAAAATTAAATAATCGTTTAGTTCAAAATTAGTGCTCAAAATAAAAATCCGGCCCAAATTCATACTTTAAAAACGATTTCTATGTTAAACAGAATACATACATTAGAATGTTTATATTTTTTTTTAACCTCAATTTTTATGATAGTTTTTAAGTATTCCTCGTTGCTCATTAAATGTAATATTAAAGATTGTATTAGTTCAGTAATAGGTGGTGGTGTTGTAATAGTGGAAGATATACTAGAAAACCTCTAAATTTATATACGCAAAGTGTGTACTGTACTCCCCAAGCCAGAAAGTTAAAAGAGTACCGAGTTTCCTTATTGGGGTCTATTTATTTGCGTAGATTTTAATTTTAGAAATCAGAAAACAAAAAAAATTAAATTTCTAATTAAAAATATTGGTATCTACAAAACTGCCTGACCACATTCATTAAACCGGGTTTCCGATACTGGGGTTTCATAACGATACTCAAGTTTTGGGCTCTGGGAGGATATCTTAAGTTATGTGGCTCTATCGGAGGAATGTGAATAAACTCAGTGCGCACTCAACATGTAATATATATAACTTTTGTGACATATAAAGTGAATGTAAGTGTAATATCAAGTGGTCCTCCATTTTCAAAGTGGATTGTTTCATTAACAATTTTTTCAGAGACAATCAGAAATAATAGAAATGATATGTTTTGAATATACATCAGGTTGCAAACAATATTATTAAAGTTATCACTTGAAATTACTTAATTTTTTGATATTCTCCAACTGATGCACAGGGACATTTGATTTGTCGGTCTTTGGTACATTTATCATTGTTTTATATAAGCATTTTATTTTACGTTAGAATTTATTTAAAACTAGTTGAAGGCCACCCCTGAGTATCCACAAAAAGTTTCAGTCCATTCAGTCCAGCCGTTTGGCCAGCTATAGGCAACATATTTATATATATATATATATATATGAATGTCTTGTTTTATTATATAGATTATAACTTTAAAGGAAACTTAGAAATCTCTAATGTTGTTAAAACCTTACAGATGAATATTTTTGTTAAAAAAATTATCTTGTTGAAAATAATATTTTTGTTAAAAATTATATTTTTCAGATGCACAGATAGGTAGAACAATGGTGTCTAAAATACATATCTGCAAGGAATTGGATTTTAAAAGATCTCATTTCAAATTCTATTGAAGGGAAGTGTAGCCTTTTTAAATTTTGTTTTTAATAAATTATCAGTTGGAAACTGTTACCTCAAGAATAAACCCGGTTCCAGGGTGATTCCTTTAAATGGGATACTTGACATCTTCCATTTTTTGTTCTATTTACCCCTCTAACCCTACTAAAATAACAGTTTCTTTTACTTTTAAGTACAAGGTAGGCAAATGTCTTAATAATCCTTTTATTTATCTAAATTGAACTTAATACATTATTTTTATTAACAATATACATATCATGTCATATTATTCTAATGAACGGAGAACTATTTGTTCCTGCTATTATTATTTCTTTAAGTAAATAATGCTTCTAAAATTAATTTTTCTTGCAAGAAACTGCAAGCAGTTTCTATGTTTATTTTTAGAGTTCAAAATTAAAGTATACCATCGGAAAGCTAAAAGTAAACAAAGAAATTTTTTCTCAAAATTTTAATAAAAATATCCTCCCGTCTTCTAATCTACGGTAATTTGGTTTCATGGGCTGCTTGAAATAAAAGCATTTAGGTTGACCAACCTGTTGGAGGTCATAGATGACCGGTTCAAGGTCAAAAGCCTTCTGAGTAATTTCTTTGTAAAGATCTAGGGGGGGGGGTGAGTATACCCCCCCCCCTCCTGATTAAAAAAGGGGGGCAGAAAAATCCGCAAAATCATAAATTATCAGTTTAACAGTAATGATTGCAGGAGAAAAACATTAAAAAACTAAGATAATTACAAGGAAACTCATAGAGACTCTACTATTAATAAAACCAATACAAAACTAGAAGCTGTGAAATGATGACTTCCTCGAGGAGCTGTTTTGCAAAATGATTATAAAAATACTCTCTTCTCTTCTTCTCATAGGATTATTGATATTAGGTAAGCTGGTGTCGGATTTTATGAACGTAAAGTTTAAGTACCTCTGGATATCTATAAGTTCTGAACTCAGTTACTTAGATAGAGTTTGCTGATCTGTATTGATCTTCATTGTTAAACGAAAATAATTTTATTTAATTAAGCTAAAGACTTACTTTTTAGTTACTTTAAAAATATATTTGTCTTGATGGATCAAAGCTAAGTCGAGCAGAGCAAATACCTAAATACAGTTTCAGGTCCCCGTCATATATGTAATTAACCCTTTTCAGTCTGAAGTCTCCTTTACCCGAAATATTTCTATTTCTTATTGTCCTTTCCGTTTTTCTTTTTTGATTGGGGAACTCAGTTTTACCGATTAAGTATTTTTAGTTTGTTTTAATAATTTTAAATGGATTAGTTTGACTTTTACAGAGAAAATTTAGTTCCATGGAAATTTAAGCTCAGTACTAACAAACACAAAAATAATTTAAGTCAGAAGCCCCACCCTTTTGTATGGAAATGTGGACATTCCCCTTTTAAAAAAGGAGATACACAAATGCCTTAAAGATATTTATTTGTAAAATTCAGATTAATAGTTTGGTGGACTATTTTGATAAATAAAAGCACAAAAATTAACAGAATTGAGAAATTTATTTATCAGCAAAAAGATGAAAAGCTCTAGGTTCTTTTTTAACACTTACATGGCATACAACATATGCCATATCTTAAAATATAAGAGGAAACCTTGTATGGTAGGGTTATGACCCAGCTGCACCCCCTCCATTAATGATAAATGAACCTCAGAGGAATGGGGGATACATTAGGCATCATAGACTTTCCTTCTACAGAATCAGAAATCAATGTGGAAATCAAAAAGATTAAGGATATCCCCAACAGTACTCTCAAACATCATTATAAATATGTATCTCATCAACTGAGACAGATTTATTTGTTCTGGAGGCATAAATTCATCGGTAAGTTTATCATCAAATTTATCTGAATGAAGGAGTATAGGTGCACTAAATCTGGTTATGCACAATTCCTCTTGACCACGAGGATACTTGTCACAATCTAAATTTGATTACATGATTATGATCAGTTATGAATATTAAATATGTATTTTGTAGAAAAGGAAAGATAATGCAATAAATTTAATAGTAAAATTCTATATTACCTAGATTATCAGGCCATTCCATCCCAAATTTTTTCATAAGATCTTCACATCCATTTCGTGCAGCCTGGCAAAGTGACCTACAATGGTAGCTATAGACTTTCCATTTATGGCATGTTCAATTCTATTATTATTGGAATTTATAATTTTTCATTTTCAATAGATTTAATTGATGATTATCATACAAAATTATATGTATAATTATTTATACGTCAGTATCATATGACCAGAACTACCACCAATGGCAGTGCAGTATTATTATCATGTGTCTCCATCTGTATCACGTGACCAGTATACTGCACTGCCATTGGTGGGAGTTCTGGTCATGTAATATGGACGTAAAAACTATTATGTATAATTATGTATAATAATTATCAATTAAATCTAATAAAATTGAAAAATTAGATTCAAATAATAATAGGAGCAAACCTAAGTTACTTCGGCTTCTCTGGGATATCATCGTTTTCAGACTGGTTGCCGAATATGATCTGTTTAAATCTTACTATTTTTATACAAGCATTTGTAATACCAATTTTTGTACAGATTTGACACAGTTTTTTTATCAATTTCTTGAGACAGGAACATTAAATAGAACTCGCAAGGGTTTCAATCAAATCCTATGTAACTTAGGTCTCAGCCTATACCCCATTTCATTTTTCCTTTACAGTCCCTTTAAAATACTCAGTGCAGACACTATGTACATGACATGGACAAATCATGTATGAGCAATCAAATATGTGGTGCTAAACAACATATTTGAATCAACAGTAGGTATTTCAGCATCCTAGCTCAAATCCATTCAATTTGGTTCCTGGTTTGGTACCAAGATTTCTTCCAGTCTAAACATGCTTGATGTCATCCCAAAGCCTCCATAGTCAGAGGCCCCTGTCCTTTTGTAGCAATTATCAATATGAGAAAAACATTTAGACATTTTAAAAAGCAAATACATGTAAAAAAAACTGCCCATAGAGTAAATTGTTCCAGTTTTTGAATATTTTTAAATGAATTACATGTGTTTTCACGGACCTGCAGGGTGGAATAGGTTCATGCAATACAGTACATACAGGAGCATACACAGTACAGAGAAAATATTGAATGTATCTAGAGCACTGAGTCTTAATCAAAGGGTTGAATGTCATAATCCCCCTTCCTGCTTCTTCTTGATCAAAATGCCCTGAAAAAATAGCACTTTCAGTCTACATTGGGATATTTAATTAATTATTTGGGCTTCTATCTGTGGCTGCTGTTGATCTCTTAACATTTAGTTTATGGATCATAGCCCTTATTATGATATTATATTTTTGAGAATTACACCAACCTAGGGAGTTAGGCATTATGGTCATATTGTAGTTGATGTTAGTGCATTGCTTTATAGTTATGTGTTCACATTGTTCACCAGTAGAACGCTTCTTTCTTGAAGAGGTTATTTTACTCAGTCCAACAGCTTGAGGTTCATCTTGAGTTTGGACAACTTTATTTGCTTCAACTGGAAATAAACAACAAATGCGTTATAGGAAAACTTGAAATTCATTATTTATCACTCAAACATTTACCTCAGATCAGATTAGATGAATGCAATTACTTTAAGAGCAACAATTATTACTTATTAGTAATACCAAGTACTTCATAGCAAAAACAATTACTTTAAAGCAACAACACGTACTTAATAGTAATACCAAGTACTTTATAGCAACAACAAACTGTAAGTACTTAATAGAAGCAAACAAACATTTTTAGTAAATTGATTAATACAAATAAATCCCAATACTATGTATGTTCAATAAGAAGAACAAAAGAAAAGTACCTTTGCTTTCAGCCAAACATCCTTGTAATGAAAAGATGAAGAGGAAACTTATTGTCAGAATAATCATATTGCTGTGCATTTCGGATTGGTTCTTAGAAATGAAACATACCAATTTTCTGAAAGCATGAACATGTGTTTTCCTTAAAATTCTTTCCCCCTCATAAAGATTTGTCCATCCCTAATATGCAAGGAGGGTGGCTTAGGTGCAAAAATAACTATAAATCCTTTTTTTACACTCAAAATAAAGCCATTCACTGCTATGAGTGAATGTCTTTTAAGATGCAGTTGAACTACATTTAAAATGAAAAATCTAGAAAAAATCAGAGCACTTTAAACACATTGTAAACAAGGTATTACTTTATTATCATTTATATAAAGTAATCTCACACCTATGTTTAGCAAGATCTGCCTCATTTACTGTTAAAAATCAACTAATATATTTTTTTAAACCCAGCAAGGATATTTTTCCCGGTATCCTGTAAAACTTGATTTGCTGAAAAATAAATTTTGCTAAGTGGACTCTGAACCCCTTGAAAATGCAATACATTCAAAATCAAGACAATGTGATAATTAAAATGCATAAATATTATTTGGGGATAATTTGTTTTTATCCATACTGGCACATTAATAGGTAGAAAAGAGATTGAATGAATGTTAATGTTGAAAAAGATGTGAATAGATCTCAAACAAACATACATACAGACGATGTTTGTTTAGGGTATATTATATTCATGTAAAATTTTTTGATGGTTTAGGCAATTGTTATTGTTTGTAAGAATAAGCCAATTAGTAGTAATATCTTTAAAAGTATTGGTCGGGTTTGAATAATTTTAGGTTTAATTTGTTATACAATAAACCAAAAAGAGAATATGTTCAGGGTGGCCAAAATGTACGGATTGTACGGATTTTTTTTGTAACCCTAAAATTGTACGGATTTTTATCCTGGAAATACACCGTTTTTTTTTATTTTCACTCATTTCAGCAAATTTTTCATGAAAATTTCAAAAAAAAATTCTCGTCAAAATGAAGTTAGTTTAACTTATTTTCTGCATTCTAAATAATATTAGATTGATTAATATGTTTCAATTGACAATCAAAATTCATTCATAATTTTCGAGATATGTCCCAGAAGTGTTCATTTGAGAATATGTTCCAGAAGTGTTCATTTGAGAATATGTTTATCTATCTGTCTAGCTATCTGTCTAGCTATCTGTCTAGCTATCTGTCTAGCTATCTGTCTAGCTTTCTGTCTAGCTATCTGTCTAGCTATCTGTCTAGCTATTTGTCTAGCTATCTGTCTATCCATCTGTATATCTATCTGCATGTCAGTTTATCTATCTGTTTATATATCCTATCTGTCTCTCTGTTTATCTATATGGTTATGTGTCTATCTGTTTCTCTGTCTATTTATCTGTCTATCTATCTGTCTGTCTGTTTATCTATCCATCTATCTGTCTCTTTATCAGATCTTCCATTCAGGTTTCTTCCGTTTATCTGTAAATCTTTTCATTTTTAGTTTAAGATTAACTTTCTTTTAATTGAGTGTGCAACCCCTGTACTACCTCCCACCACGCTAATTCTAATTATATTAGATCCTAAATCTACGTTCCACTCTTTCTAATTATAACTTAATTGTTTGGTTATTAAATGGCCTAATTCACACCGATCTAAACAGTTTTAAAAATTAGAATCAACGCTCTTTAGTTCTCTAGTTCTCTAGTTCTCTAGTTCTTTAGTTCTCTAGTTCTCTAGTTCTCTAGTTCTCTGGTTCTCTGGTTCTCTGGTTCTCTGGTTCTCTGGTTCTCTGGTTCTCTGGTTCTATGTTTCTCTAGTTCTCTGGTTCTCTGGTTCTCTGGTTCTCTGGTTCTTTGGTTCTCTGGTTCTCTAGTTCTCTTGTTCTCTAGTTATCTAGTTCTCTATTATCTAGTTCTCTAGTTCTCTAGTTCTCTAGTTCTCTAGTTCTCTAGTTCTCTAGTTCTCTGGTTCTCTGGTTCTCTGGTTCTCTAGTTATCTGGTTCTCTGGTTCTCTGGTTCTCCTGTTCTCTGGTTCTCTAGTTCTCTATTATCTAGTTCTCTGGTTCTCTGGTTCTCTAGTTCTCTAGTTCTCTGGTTCTCTAGTTCTCTAGTCCTCTGGTTCTCGGGGGTCCAAAAATCGTATACTAGGACAGAACCAAAACAATACCATTAAAAATCTTTATCTAATGAACAATGTGGAAGATAACATCGCTTTTCTAGCTAAAAAGTGTTTGATTCGTATAACTTCTCTGTGCAAGTCACTTTTGAAGAGAAACCACAAAAGAAAATAATTAGTTTTCAAATTATGGAACAACATGGATATCTGATTTATACTTGATCTGACTAAGATTTTAAGGGTACTGAATCAGACATGCCACTCAATCTATGCAGGGTTTCTTAAATTAAACATGAGTTGTTGGTGCTCTAACCTTGAGCTCCAGGTAGCATAGTCTACAGGCTATAATTGCTAAGGCCTGTGGGTTTGTTTTATAATGATAATTATAGTATGTTTGAATTCTTATAGCATCTAAGAACTTCAAACAGTGACCAGGTGGAGAATGTTCTTGAGGTAAAAGCTTGTTTATCTGCTTGTGGCCATGGTCTCCAACATAGATACAAATTTAGATCTCATCTCATTTTGTTTTATAAATGGCCACCTTGACTTACAGTTCATTTTAAAAGTACCAAATATAATCAACATTCCCCTTTGACAACAAAACTGGAGCTAAAGTAAACCACTGAAGAGGAAAGAACGGTTGCGGGTGGTTTTTTTTTATTTTGGGAATGGGAAGTCATGAAGCCAATCAAAATTACTTTAATAGTCTGCTTATATTAATGCCTCGTTTCTTGCTGGAAGCAAGCTATTTCTTCATTGCCAAGATTGCAACTTTCACTGCAATTGTTGGACTATGAGAAATGAAACCATCCTCCTCAGTTTCTTTTCTTACAACGATACGAACGCTACTCACCAGGCCATGGAGTGGGCTTTATTGTTATGTTATGTTTAGTGTTTGAGCTTAAAGATGAAAGATTTGACCCTGGTGGGAGTCTGGTGGAGTACATTTTAAACCATTCAGTTCACTCATCCAGTATATTAAGCAAGGTGGAGTACATTTAAACAATTCAGTTCACTCCTCCAGTATATAAGGTAAGGTGGAGTATATATTGTACCATTCAGGTTTCACCTCCAGTATAGTAAGCAAGGTGGAGTACATTTTAAACTATTCAGTTCAGTCCTCCAATATATTAAGTAAGGTGGAGTACAAAGTATACCATTTAGTTCACTCCTCCAATATATTAGGTAATGTTGAGTACATATGATACCATTCAGTTCACTCCTCCAGTATATTAGGTAATATTGAGTACATATGATACCATTCAGTTCACTCCTCCAGTATATTAAGTAAGGTGGAGTACATATGATACCATTCAGTTCAGTCCTCCAATATATTAAGTAAGGTGGAGTACAAAGTATACCATTTAGTTTACTCCTCTAATATATTAGGTAATGTTGAGTACATATGATACCATTCAGTTCACTCCTCCAGTATATTATGTAATATTGAGTACATTTTCAACCATTCAGTTCACTCCTCCAGTATTTTAAGTAAAGTTTAGTACATATTATACCATTCAGTTCACTCCTCCAGTAAATTAAGTGAGTGTGAGTACATTGATATTTTTTAGTTCAGATATTTAATAATTTTTATTTTGCTTTTTAGCAAAAAGTAGATTGCAATTTTATTTTATTTTAGGCTCGTAAAAGGAGAGGGGATTGCAACTTTTATAAATGTTTTGATATTAACAGATGCACTTTACATGCAGCCAACATTAAAGGTAACAAAATATAAACTAAGCACTAAAGGGTTTATAACATTTGTTTTACAACAACAACAAATTCTAAGTTTTCCTTCTTTTTAAGATTTATATACGCGATTCACAACTTCCATAGTTGTAACCTTCATTACAAATTTTTCTCTAAAAAATCTGCTTCCATCTTTTTTGCCAAATTTAGAAGTCCTTTATTTTTTTTCATATGAAACACATATGAACAGGTTTATTTAGTAAAATATAACACTATAAATTACGTCAAAAATACATATTTCAACATATCTTAATCTATTATGTATCTAAAATGGCATATAAACTGTCTAAGAAAATAAAAATATATAAATCTTAAATGTATAATATGGCATTTATCCCATAAACAAACTGTAAATCAATCAATATTGTTTAGTACATATCTATCCATCCCATCATCATCTAGTGGATGGTGAAGAACTAGCCTACTCCAGGGAGTACCTGGATATTATTGATGCTGTTTACAACAGGTTCATTTTTTCGATGGTGGCTAAACTTTACTTCAATATATATACTTTGCTTGTCGGTCTGTTTTATGGTTTGTTTCTATCCAATAAACTCAAAATGGCTGAACCGATCGGGCCCAAAAGGTGTGTGGGACCTTACATGACCCCAGGGAAGGTTTATGGATGATCAACATTTCAAAAATATGCCTCCAACAAAAATTTGTCATTAAATTTGGAAAATCACCGAAATTATTTTTATAAAATCAGCGAAATTTTTATTGTTGTTTTACAATGTATACAAAGAGAAAATGTTCTTAACAGAAGATGGACGTGAAACGCCCTGAAAGCCTCTAGTATAATACAAACTAAGTGTTGTGTGAGAATAAAAAAGATGCATATGGTCTAAACCACAAAAAAATATAAACTAGATCACTCTGCAAATTGGAAATGGAAAAAGAAATTAGAATTGATGTCAAACTTTCCATTTATTTCTGGCCCTGAAACTTTCGGAAATCTTTTCCTCACCGCCAAATACCTAGGGAGGAATTCATCAATATTTCTTAACATTTTTTTGTAATTTCAGTGAATTCTACACTCCTAACCCTGAGGAAGCTTGTCTGTTTATGCCAAGTGTAGATACGCTAAACCTGAAAACCAATAGGAATACAATAATACAATGTCGATTAGAATGATATACCGAGATACACATCTTACATTTTTGGAGCTTAAGCTAATAACACCTTGATAAAATATGTAATTACAGTATTAAAGACAAGATTGAATCTTGATTATCTTATTTACCTGATGACTGAAGAAACACAAAAAATCAAAATTATTAAATTTACACTTAATTTACGTTAAAAAATTTGCTTAAAGGGAGTGTTCGCGAAAAATGAAAGGGGGTATAGGCTTAATGCGATAAAAAATCTTACTTCTATCTGTTGCGTCTATAAGGAGAAAATTGTTAAAGACGTCTCATACCGAATAACATGGCGTCCATACAAGTTGAGAAAATTGCAACATACGACTTAGACCGTAAAAAATCAATTTAATTTCAAACAAATCATTCAGATATTACAACCTATAGTCATCGATTATCTTTCGCCACATTTGTATATAGTTGATATTTCATACTAGTTTTTATTTTGTTTTTAAAAAAATATTTAGCTTACAACTTGTTTTCGAACATTCCTGGAAAATATGAAAATGTCGTCTTCATTACCAAAAATCCTCGAAACAGGAATAAATGTTTTTATAAGTAACTCTCAGATCATAACAATTAAAACATATTATTCGGTATGAGACATCTTTAACAATTTTCTCCTTATAGACGCAACAGATAAAAGTAAGATTAGTAGCGATCAAAAGCGCTTTTTTATCGCATTAAGCCTATACCCCCTTTCATTTTTTGCGAACACTCCCTTTAATGAAACGTATTAAAACAGAAAGGAGTTGGAGTCAGTACTTTCTCAGTTAGAATATTGGAACCAGGGCCAGAATCATCTTATCTTCAACTTCATCGGAGGTAGGTCAGAGGGACTTTGTGTCAGAGTTAGATTTGGGTTAGTTTTAGCGTACATCCAGGGGATTTTTTATAGTAGGCAGGTCAGAGGTAGGTTGGAGGAAGTTTTTATCATTGGTGGTTTGCAATATTTAATCATGGGTAAGTTGGAGAAGTTCCTTTTGGAAATCGTTTAGATTGACCTTATTAATCATTGGAGGTAGATTTGAGAGATTTTTTATTGGAGGCACTTCTGGATGAAGGGATATCATGTCAAAGTTAGGTCAAATGGTAAGTAGGTTCGAGGGATTTCATGTCGGAGATAGCTCATAGGGACTTTAAATGAGATGTAATGTAGGTCGGAGGAACTTATGTTAGACATTGATTGGAGGGTGTTCTGTTTTCATTTCTGCAAATTCAAAATCTATTTATTTTAGCTTTAAATCTTGATCTTACTGAATTTGTTCCAGACCCTGCTGAGTTCTGGTTGGACAAGGCTATTCTAGCTTCATCTTCACTTTCTACTTATACTTACAGGTCTTTTTTTTCTTTCAATTTTTATTTTAATTTCGCAGCATCCAGATCTATGTAGATGCCGCAATAATACACCGTATTCCTAAGTACTGTATGCCACCTTCTGATCTATACTTGAACCCCAGTCCTTTTGAACCATGCATCCAAAAAAATAGCTGTAACCTAAAATTACAATTACAAAAAAGTTTGAGTCCGTTGAATTCTCCAGAGAGCTGAGTGCACAGTAGACGGGCTCAACTTCCACTCGTTTCTTTTTTAGCAAGATGAAAGAGCACATACGTTAATCAATCAATGCTGCATACTGATGTCTCTACTTATGACAACGGTTTTAAAACAACCTCAAACCAATGGTATTAAAACTAATAAAATGATTAATTTTAGGCCTGAATTTGATGTATCATTACCTCTATCTGTACCTGACTCTCTAGCTTGTGGTTCCGGATCATGTTCATATAATCAATCAATTAATCAACACTCTTCCTCCCGTCGGTCCTGGACCCTGCTAGTCTTCAAGCATACTTTAGATATTAAACTTGCGAAAACTTTACACGATATTAGGCAGGTTTTTTTGTCGTGATCAAATAATTTGTCTGTCAATGGACTGTTGGAAGATATTTCAAATTACTCCAAAGCTATCTCTTAACCCTTTGTCGGATCACTAATGAGTAATGAATGAGATTGAGAAATTCTATTTTTTCTAAGTGGAAATTGATTATGTTTAATTGTGGTTTCTACGTCGATTAAAAGATAAAATCTCATTTAATGGCAGAAGTAAAGAAGAAAATTGTCAAGATTCAAGACTGTTCAAGCTAGAAAAACGAGTAATCTTTATCATACAGAGGTTTTAAGGGTACCTTATTTAATAGGACATAATACAGTGTCAATTAAAATCACTCCTACGTTAGTAACCAGAAAACAGTTATTGATGTTGTTTTACTATTGTTCCTCGGAGTGTAACTATTGCGCTGAATTGCGCACAACTGTTCTTGATAACGGGCACTTGTATGGAATTGCGCGAAATTGCGTGGAGTTTACAGGGCTCGCAGTTGTGCGCAAGTAAAATCCACTTGCGTTGCAAACCCTAAGTGTAAATATCGAGGAATTTCGTTATTTGAACTTGATAATTTCTCACGTCACAATAAATATTTTTATACATTAACGATTTTCATAATCAAAAGATTATATTATCGATTTTCATAATCATAAGATTATATTATCGATTTTCATAATCAAAAGATTTAAAGATCTTGTCAACAATTCTTGTTCATTAGCGGATCAAATAATTTTAACAAAACCATTAAAACCCTGAGCTAGTGCTGACAGTAACGATGTGATATTTGTTGATAAATGTGGAAATACATTCTGTTACAAAGGAAGGATTATCAATCAGTATTGGGGGGGAGGGTTATAGATTTTTTGGGTGGACCTAAAAATGGAAAATTGAAAATTGTAAACTTCTTGACGTTCCCCATTTAAGAAATTTTTCAATTTTGCAAGTAACAAAAAATTCCAGAGTTTAGAAAAATTACTTTGAATTGATATCCTTACTCTAGGAGTTGAATATTCAGCTGAGGAGCTGATAGCCGATTCTAAATATTGTTTTATATCTGGTGTCCCAGGACTTCAGGGACTACAGTTGGGGCAAGTTTTAAGGCTAGGCTGTGTCCCAGTTATCTTACAAGGTATGTATCTGGTGTCCCAGGACTACTGGGACTACGGGGACGTTGATTTTTTTGTAATACCCTTTAAGGTTTTTTTCTAGGTTGTGAACTTTGTCAAACAAGATTTATATAAATTGAAAAATTGGGATTTACGCAACGCTTATTAAGCAAACCTTTAAACTTATGAACATTTAAGATAATTAATATTCCTTGCAAATAATTAGCTACAGGGAGCAAATGATTCATTTAAATCCAATAGAATGTAAGTTGTTAATTAAAAAGTTTCCATCCCTTGAGCATCAACACTTTTTTTAGGTTCTTCAGTGCTTCCATTCTCTGAGATTTTAGACTGGAACCTCTTCTCTATCAGGGATTATTTAAAATAAAAACATTTTTGATTTATCAACTTTGTGTCGTCATAAGTGGGTCGGAGGGCGATGCTGCAAATCTTTTTTTGTGACGTCATTCGAGGCTCGGAAGCTTTCAGGGGGAGGGTTGCGTGCCCCTCCCCATCTTTCATACAAAAATATGAATTTTATTTGGAAAATAGTTTGTTAATGCCTTACTTAATTTGGAGTTTATTAACTTACGAACGCAAAAACATATTATGTAAATAAAATATGTTTCACTGTTACATTTAGAACATAATCATTGACTTATCAATCAATAAAATTCTTTATATTTACATCAATAGACTGAGAGGAAAAGATGTGGGAGATCTTCTGAAAATATTAAATCTGAAATCTGCCAAGGATTATCAAGCCATGAAGAAGCAACTAGGTAATGTGTTTCATATTCTCCAATTTATTTTGTAAAACTAAATCCATTTATTTTGTTCACGAATACACGTGATCTCATGTACAATAATGTTTATTTAATAAACCTCATTAAAATTTAGAAAAATTGAGTTAATTTTTCTTAAAATGATTTCAATTATTTTCATTTTCCTTAATATGTTATAAGTAAATATCTTCTATTGTTCAGCATATAAAACGTCTTAAATTTGCTGGAAATTTTTATGATTGACTTGATGGTTGATTGGCTAGACGGTTGATTGACTGATAGATTGATGATTAGTATTGTACATTTTATTTATTTTATAAATTTAACTGTCAAAAAATATTATTATTATTGATAAGTTCAATTTTGGTTGATTGTCAAATGATTAATTGGTTTTCTGATTGGGTAATTGGTTGATTGATTGATCATTAACTATTGATTGGTCGATTTATCATGTGACTGGTTGATTGGTAATTGGTTGATTTATTGATTGCTATTAATTATTTGTTAGATTGATTGATTGATTGATTGTATGATTTGTTGATTGTAGAACGAATCTACTCAACCTACATGAAATCTCCTGGCACCATTGCTCTCACTACATTGAAGATATTTAACACAAGGTAAAATCTTATTTATATAAATGAGGCTTAATGTACTTAGTACAACAGGCAAGCTGGACAAACCTGTACAAATTTAGAAGTTTTGAAGTCGTTTGTGTAATTACTAATTATTCTAAAAAACACGATATTTTTCCAGTGTTTACTTTGTTTACTTTTTTCTGTTTACATTTTAGAGGGAAAATATATCTCGTTGGAGTTGTGGCGGGTTATAAATGTTAACATATTAATGTTTATAAAGCAGCCTATTTTAAACTTAATAATCATCAAATTATTAAAAATACATGACGGCTTGAATCAAAATGTCCGTATTACCCCGTTTATATTTTAAACTTCACCCCAACATTTGGAAACAAACCCTGCAGTATGTGTACTGTATGAACCCCTCTTCATGGTTAAGTGTTGCTTTAAAAGGAAAAAATTCAGGGGTACTTTTCTTAAACCATGTTTTTTTTCATCCCCCCTTTTAAATCTTTTTTTTCTTCAGCAGATGTTAGGTTTGTTGTATTCCCGTCGAATTTAGTTCTCTGAATAGGTGAAAATTAATGGTTTTCTCTGGAAAATTAATGATTTTTAATTAAATTATTATTTTGGTAAAATAAATGAATTTTCGGATCAAAGCATTTAAATGGGTGGCAATTTTTTTTTTAATATCTAGAGCATCGAGATTATTCCGGCCCCCCCAGATCCTCCCTTGGAAATATATTTTCCTGAAAAATTACGGAAGACATTATCTGAACATTAAACTTCGGAATCTATTTGAAGAATTTTGACCCAGTTTGGAGTCTCTAAGATGGATTGGAATCTTGAAGACTCTCCCAAATCTCCAATTTTCCTTGACAAGTAAGCGTATTTGATGCATTAAAAATTATTAAAAAATATATTTTTTAACAAAACTTATATTTTGAATTTGTTTATGTGTTTTGAGAATTAGCTAATGCATTTGGGCATAAATGCAAAGATGAAAAGACTTGATTGATGGTTGATTGATTGATTGGTTGGGTCGTTAGATAATTGGTTAAATGATTGATTTATTATTTATTGATATATTGATATATTGATTGATTAATTGGTTGATTGATTGATAGGTATCCTCGGCCTGGTTCTGGGTTTACAGCAGTTATCCTTGCCTACGACAGGGTCGACTCACTCTTCCAGATTATCAACCAAGTAAATTTTATTCAAACTATTTTGTAAACCCGGTTTTTACCTGGAAACTAGATTTTCATTAAAATGTCAACCAACTCAACTCATTAAACCAAACTTAGTTCATTCCCGTGGTTCTACTGAGTTCCAAAATCAAAATTTTCGTATCAGTCAAGGGGTTTATGAGATGGACAAAACAAAATAGAAAATAATGAATACTTAGTCAAAAAAACAGGAATATCGTCATTTTTCTTCAGATTTTCAGGTTTTATTGGAAATATTGTGAATCAGACATGCCTCGCTTTCAATTTTATATGAAGTGACACCAAAAATAATGTACTTATTTTTATTTTATTTTAGATTTCTGATGTTCATAGTTTAACCCGTATTCTTGTAATCTGGAACCACCAAACCATCCCTCCGCCCTCTATACAAGCCTGGCCTAAAACAAACAAACAATTGAAGGTTAGAAATGAGAGCATACTAGAAACTTTAATCTAAAGGACATGCTAGGGCTACCTTACTCTAACCAAAGCACATGCTAGGGCTACCTTACTCTTACAAAAGGACATGCTAGGGCTACCTTACTCTAACAAAAGGACATGCTAGGGCTACCTTACTCTAACCAAAGGACATGTTAGGGGTACCTTACTCTAACAAAAGGACATGCTAGGGCTACCTTACTCTAACCAAAGCACATGCTTGGGCTACCTAACTTTAACCAAAGGACGTGCTAGGCCTACCTAACTTTAATTTAAAGAACGTGCTAGGCCTACCTAACTTTAACCAAAAGAACGTGCTAGGCCTACATAACATTAACCAAAGGACATGCGCTTGGTCTTAAATCATGAGTTTTGATGAAGTGCCTGGCGTAGCGCGTGGATTTTCAAAAATTTCCTCATTTTAACAAATGTCACCCCTGGGGTACCCATGAGTTCTCTAAAAAAAAATCAGCCCATTTGGTCCAGCCTTAACCAGCTATAGCTAACACATAAAGATATATATATATCAGCGAAGAGCTTTATTATATAGAATATAATATATCTCTGACCTAATCTAAATTTCAGGTGATTCAAACATCTGCCAACCTGTTATCAAACCGGTTTTATCCCTACCCGGAGATAGACACAGAGTGCGTGTTGTCCCTGGATGACGACATCACCATGCTGTCAGCTGATGAACTGGAGTTTGGATACCAAATTTGGCGGGAATTTCCAGACAGGTAAACAGCGTTGCCCGAGTTACCCACAATTCAGAGACGACTGTAAGGAATTAAACTTTTTTTTCTACATTCTTGAATTTTAAGATTAATAATGGTAATGCATAGGTTAGGTTATAGGACGGTAGAAAGGCTGGTCAGTGTTATTTTTTTTATATATATGTTTTATATAGCCCATATTTTTTTTTGTTTTTCAAGCTGAAGATCTCAAATTTTAATTTTTTTTAAACTTTTGAATATATAAACATCAAACAAGTGTCACATGCACAGAACAGAGATAAGAATAGAAGGGAAATTAGACTATCCCTCGGTATGCATTTTGTTCAGTCCCTTTGAGACTGAATAGGAGATTAATGTGTACAATTCATAAAAATGTTCACACATTATACGGCTACGCAGTACATCACTGTTCTTTTACTTTATTCTACTTAATTTGTTTTCTTGATCTTCCAGTTTTTTTTAGAATACATAAAAAAGAAACAAAGTAAATAAACAGGCACATCAACTTTATGTGATAAATAGTTCAATAGTTAGATAATATTGAGAATGATAAATATAGCTTTTACCAAAAATATCGGGGGCACAGGATATACAATATACAATATTTGGTTCCTGGGTTGGAATGTTTACCGAATTTCAAGCGGTCCTCAATTTAAAATGGTGCATTCCGATTCACAACAGAACCTTACTCCCATTGCAAAGTTTTTCAGGATTGTCGGTTTCCCATCTCGAAGTCACTTCTTAAACCAAACTAGTGGGGCCTGGAACTATCAGAGTGAGTGGACGAACGAGTATAGTATGGTTCTAACAGGTAACAAATAGGGTTTCCTGCGAATAAAAACTGTCGCGAAAGTAGGGTTTCAAGAGAATTTTTTTTCGCAAAACAGATTTGCGCGAATTGTCATTTTTTTTGTCTCCGAACGGAATGCGAAAAAATGCGAAATTTTCGGCTAAAACCAATTTTCGCGAAAGGAACCCTGGAAACCCTAGTAGCAAGGGGTTGCCAGAACAACCTAGCTTTCATCTATCCAAATCTAAATTTTTCAATCTATTTATAAATAATAACTAGGCTTTCAGGGCGCTCCCGTCCCTTTTCCTATGACAGTTTTAGCTTTCAATATTCCTTTTTAAGTCGCCATTATTTATCGTAATCAAAAACAAACAATTTTACGGATTTATTTGTTTAAATTGGTGCATTTTCACAAATAGTGTATGTCGACAAATTTGCTCATCCAAGAACAGACAAACAGATAGACAAGCAAAATATTTATATAGGTAATAGTAATAATGTATTTAAGGTGCTGCGTTCTACAATAAATACTGGAACTATGTTTACACTGGTGCCCCGGACCCACAACAAAAACTAATTAGGTATCTTTATAATCTACATGTAATAGTCTTCATAACGGTTTATTAGGGCATTCTCACAATTATTTGAAAGATGTTCAGAACTTGATTTAGTAAAATCTATTTTTTGTTTTGTTTTTCTATTTAATTTGATGTTAATCATTAGTCTAGGTTATTTTATTTGATTCGATTTTACAATTTTCAGAGATTGGGTTGATGAGAATATGAACTGTGAAGATGTAGCATTTAATTTTCTAGTTTCTAATCATACTAGGAAACCTCACATCAAGATAGGACCTAGGTATTACTTTTTTTTACTTTCTTCTTTCTACTTTCTATTTTCTACAGTTTCTAGCTTTGATTCTCTAGCATCTAGCTTCTAGCTTCTAGCTTCTAGCTTCTTATTTCTAGTTTTACTTTCTGCTCTCTAGGATTCAGTTTCATGTTTTTAGTTTCTTATTTCTAGGTTCTTGGTTCTAGTTTCTAGGTTCTAATTTTTAGTTTCTAGGTTCTTATTTTTAGTTTCTAGGAACTAGATTCTAGGTTCTGGTTTCTGGTTTTTGGTTTCTGGTTTCTGGTTCTGTTTTCTGGTTTCTGGTTTCTGGTTTCTGATTTCTGGTTTCTGGTTTTTTGGTCTGGTTCTGGTTTCAGGTTCTGATTTCTAGTTCTATTTACTGCGATCTGTTGCGCTTAATTTCAGAACTAAGAAACTTAGAAATCTCTTTTTTCAGTTAAAAATGAGTTATTGGCTAAAATCAATAAAAATACGCTAACGTGAAGACACAGTTTAAAAAAAATAAAAATTTTGATTTGATTTGATTTTAACTACAAAAAAGAAATTTTTAAATATTCAAATTTTTTTTAATTCCATCCTCAAATAGGCAAAAGCTTAAAGGGTACCGTTGTGGACCGTTACCGGACATGCCAATATAGAAGTGAATGGTCAGTTGAAGTTTTGTATACCGTCCCTTTAAATTAGTTTGTTCTTCAGGAAGAAATACCGCTGTGTAACTCCGAGCTGTGAGAATGGAAATATGCTTTCTCAAGATTCCGGTCATCTTGCCAGACGATCCCAGGTAGGGACAGAGATAAAACAGGGAGGATCCATACACATCTGAAATAGGAAGACGATTGTGAGACTCAAGCTATAATTTCAGATTGTCTAATTAACCATAAATCTAGCAACATTGCTTTAAAACATCATCATATACACAAAGTTGCTAAAATGTCGTCTTCCTATTCTACAGCTTTATGAGTAAAAGTGGAATAAAAATTATGTATTCCTCTGCATAAATGTCGTCTTCCTATCCTACAGTAGTATTGGTGAAACTGAAATAAAAATCATGTATTCCTCTGCTTAAATGTCGTCTTCCTATTCTACAGCTTTATTGGTAAAACTGGAATAAAAATTATGTATTCCTCTGCTTAAATTTCATGGGAATAGAGAAGTAATAAATGTCTATTTGTCATGTTGAAGGTGGCAACATTTATCAACATTAATTATAAGCCAGGATTTAACCGATATTTTACACTGATTTCTCACAAACAATGACGATGTTCTCGTAGTTTCGATTTACACTGAAGAGAATTTGGCGAAATTTTCGTTTATATTTTACTCGGATTTTTTTTAATCTGGAGGAAATGACGAGAGGGAAAATAATATTATTTAGACCTATTTTATCACATACATTCGTACTTATATTACATACATTGCTGCTTATATGCAATTTTACGTTTTAGTGCGTTGACAAGTTCTCCAAGCTGTATGGTTTCATGCCTCTCAAAAGTGTAGAATATAGGTAAAAATACTTGTATATAATGTTAAATAGTTACGAGATCTAGCAATACACAATTTACTCTTCTTCTTAATCTTAATGCTGCTTAATTTGTTTTAAACTCCTACCCATAAAATCAAGAATTATCGATTCAATTGTAACTTCATGCAAATATGGCAATGTCCGATTCTCAACGGTACCTGTGAAATATTTTAAATCAGATCAATTATATTGATGATATTTTCGTTTTTTCTAGTTTAAAAGTGAATTCTGGTAATTTGCGTTTTTCTGAACTAGAAATGCGGAAGTCACTTTTGTATAGAAACCACAATGGAAAATATCAGTGTTTTCAAAATTATAAGCATTAATATCATTAATAATTAATCGGACGAAGGATACTGTTTCTAAAGTCTCTAAAATACACGAGTTTAAAGATGTTATTTTTTACATATTTTGTTTTAGGTTAGATCCAACCTTATATAAAGAGACTGTTCCTGATTCTATGAATCCGTATTCACATCTAGGAATATGTTTATCTCACTTATACTTATCTTTTTTTTATTTATTCAATAAACCTTAGAAAAATAAGGCAGGGAAACAGAAAATTTCAAGGAATTTATAAAGATTAAGATTTTTGGTAAAAATTAGAATCTTACACAAAAAACTTTGCCCCCCCCCCCCCCCCAAACCCTCAGTTTCTTCACAATATATCAAACCCTAGACAAAGTGAAAATAAATATATGTTGCTTCAGGACCTCTCTAGTTCTTGTTCATGTTCAGGCCCTCTCTAATTCATGTTCATGTTTATGTTCATGTTCAGGCCCTCTCTAGTTCATGTTCATGTTAATGTTTATGGTCACGTTCAGGCCCTCTCTAGTTCACGTTCAGACCCTCTCTAGTTCATGTTCATGTTGTAACACGTTTCTTATAACCAACTAATAGATTAACTTTTTGCATGTTTTTTAATGTTATTTATTATAAATAAACTGGAGATAGTTAATTAGTGTACTGTACGGGAAAGAATAATATTAGACTTCAATACTGTGACTGTCCGAGCCTCTGTAGAGTAAAAAGTAGATGTTAGTTCCACGTTTTATTTTAAATATATTTCGGTCTAGGTTGACCCTCGTCAGTTTTAAAGATATAACATCAAAATCGATATTAAAAACCACAAGAAAATAAACAAAAAAGATCATTTAAAATATTTAAAATGGGCTGTCAATCGGACAAAAAGTTAACTAACTCAGATCATGAGATGGAAAAAAGATAATTTGTAAATATCAATATCAAACTTTTGTTTCTCAATTCTTACACATTGACTTAAATAGAATGTAAAAAAAAATAATGATGCCAATTCATCCTAGGACAAGGGCGTAATTGTTTGAATCCAATAAGATTCCGTCTAAACGCAATAAATCAGAAACTTTATATTTTTAAAGGAAGAGACCGGCTAGACATGGTAGTTGAGCTGAGAGTGCAGAATTGTTGAGAAACATTTTAGGTTTCATTAGATAACAACGAGACGCTTTTACGGTGTGTATTTGCTGTGCACAATATCGATTTTAAGAATTCTCCTATTTGGAGGATAATTTTCAATAATTGAATAACGACGACGATAAATGTAACAAAAATTCCCCGTCTCAGGCTAATAACTCAAAAAGTATTTGACCTGCAGCTTTGAAATTTTAGGTCAGAAGTCTTGGAGTAATTCCGCGCCTGCGTGTAAAGTTTCAAGGCTGCAGCTTCAAAACTGTAGGCGTGAGCCCAATTAAAATTCTAAAGTAAACTAAAAAGAGGGTAGAGAATTCAGATTTCTCAATAGAAATTTTACAATAAATCATATGTTAGAATAAATTATTTCTTTTTCGTCGTTACATTGAATTTATAATCTTTTATGAATTTGTTCGCAGATTTCTGCAAATTCTTTAAGAGTTGTTTTTTCAATAATAATTCCAGAAAATCTACAGAAAATGTTTGTGAATGATAAGAAATTACAAAAACTAATAACTAAATAAGATTACTTATTATCCATGATAAAGAGTTAATTTTCTCAAAAACATCCCTCCCAAATGGAAAATCTGTGCGGATTTTAAAGATTAAATTTGCGCTCGTTCTAAACATTTATACACGGTTAAAACGTGTCTCAAATTCATAAGTGAAAGGTCTCAAATGAGCCCTAGCAAATTTCTCTTTCACTAGTGCATTCTTTTTTTCATATTGCAATTTTTATATAACTAAGTAATTGAGTGATGTTATCTTTTAATTAATTTTTTCTTCTGACATCATGTTAGCCCCTTTTAATTATTGTTTCTTCTTCTAACTTTTATTATTAGTTTTTTTTCCTTTTTCCCTTTCCCTTTCCCTATTTATCTGTCTCCTCTTTTTAAACCTGAATCTCGCAATAATGATCCATTAGATTGTTTTATTTATTTTTTCTACATTTTTAGTTTCTAAGATTTTTGTGCCCCCCCCCCCATGTGTGTTCAGATATTTGTGTAATCGGAATTTGACCCCCTTCACCATAATAATAGGAATGTCTAAAGGGAGTGCCCGGCAATGTTTGGTAGCTGAACTGACAATGTAGTATTTTAGAGAAATTTTTAGGAATCATTTGTGACCTTTCACGGTGCATATTTGTTCAGCAAGGGAGCGAATTAAATCTTTAAAATCATCATAGATTGTTAATTTTGAAAGGAATGATTTTTTAATCGGTTTTTAAAAAACTATTCCAATAGTGACGACGAAAAATGTAGTAAAATTTCTACAGTAAACAAACTAGTTGTTAAGGAACCGGTTGAGAAAATGAGAATTAACTTTTATTCAGTTATTGGTTTCTGTAATTTCTCATTGTTAATAAATATTTTCCCTAGATTTTCTCGAATTTTATTGATTGAGAAAATTTCAATTGAGAAAAAATTTGTTCCTAAATATCTAATAAGTTTACTGTCGGAATTTTTTATATTTTTGTCGTCATTTAATGATTTTTTAAAAAATCGATTCTCGAAACGTAATCAACCTTCTGGATTTTTTTGAACGTCGACTTTGGACTCAAACTCAGTAATTAAACATCATTAAAACCTTTTATATGTCTCAAATGAATCCTAAACAAATTCTCCACAAAACTACATTCTCAGTTTAACTACCCTACATTGCTGGTTACTCCCTTCGGAGACATCGAAAAAGTTTATAAAATATCGTCTTAACAATTGTTCAATAAGTTTCATTCTTGTGATTCAAAATACAAGAAAAGCCGTGAAATATGCAAGAACAGTTTTAAAGAGCTCAATATAAATATCCAAATAAAACCCTAAATATCTGCAGCATTATTAACAGTAGGGTAAAAAAACGAAATTTACAAATTTATTTATTATTTCTTTGAAAGATATTTGGGGTTGATTATGAGGACGCGACTTTTCATTAGCATCCTATACTGCTGTCTAGGATTTCCAGCGAACAAAACGTTTCACGAAAAAATGCGAAAATTTTCGGTCACATTTGGCAAACTTGTTCGCGAAAATTGATGAAGCGAAATTTCGCGAAATTTTGCGATAAAAAATTTAGTGAAAACCATGAGTTTCGTAGTTGCAACACTTAATTGCTCAGAAGAACTTGTGGAATTCTCTGCTGTGATAGCTCAATATTTGAAGTTTCATTATGTCATATAAATAATTTCTATTCCTTTACTTCAAAAAAATGTTTGATGAGAATTTGGTTTAATTAGCTATCTTTTTAAGCTTCTGTCTGTCCGTCCAAAATACATACGTTCAATTTTTGCGTTATTTACTCGCGAAATTTTCGCATTATTTATTCGCGAAATTTTCGCTTTATTTTTATTGTGAAATTTTCGCGAGCGAACAAAATGCGAAAATGAAGCGAAATGGTCGCGAAAAATGCGAAATTTTCGCGAAACAATTTTTTCTTTTTACCGGAAACCCTACTGCTGTCCAGCCAAACAAATAAATCAAGCCCTGATAAATTTTGCACAATCTTTGATAAACCTAAATTAGAATTTGAATTTCTTTAAAACAGTTTTTAGAAAGAAATTTACAACAAAGCAAAAAATGATCTTTAAATGTTCTTGGTGTATTTCTTCTTATTTCTTCTGTTTTCTTCTGTATGTATTCGACCACAGCGCAACAAAAGCCAAACCTCTGATATATAATTCAATATAATATGAGTGGACTTTGTTCAGTACATCAGGGATAATCAGAAAACTCTTACAAAGGAAAACGACTTTTAAGCACAAATTATGACTGTTAAAGGTCCAATAAACATGGATACAACGATTTCGCCCGTATAAACAGACCCATTTCACTAAATCAATGTTTAGAAAAATTAAAATTTGTTGTGTATCATCAAATACATCAAATACCCTTAAATATTGCTAGAAAGTCGTCTCTCCTTACAAAGAAGTACATAAATCAAATTTAAAAATTACGATTTAAACAAATTCACAAAGGAGCATAAATATGGAAAAGGTATCCCTCTTGATTTGGTTTGATATGATTTTTTTATGCATAGATTTTTTTTCCGATATAAGAATCTTTGAAAAAAATTGATTTAATAATTTTTAAAAATTTAATAAGCTTGCCTTATAAAAACCATAAGCAGAGTCATGTAGATGATATCAAATCGGAAATTTTCCTAAGAGTAGAAAATTTGTTTGAAGGTTTAAATCACCTTTAATAAAAATCATAATCAAAAGTTTAATGATAATAATAATAATAATAATAATGATAATGATAATGATAATGATAATGATAATGATAATGATAATGATAATGATAATGATAATGATGATGATGATGATATTCATGATGACATTGATAATATTAATGATGATAATGATAATATTAATGATTATAATGATAATATTAATGATGATAATGACAATATTAATGATAATAATGATAATGATAATGATAATGATAATGATAATGATAATGATAATGATAATGATAATGATAATGATAATGATGATGATGATGATGATGATAATAATGATAATGATGATTATGATGATGATAATAATAATATTGATGGTGATAATAATAATATAAATGATGATAATGATAATATTCATGATGACATTGATAATATTAATGATGATAATGATATGATTATAATGATAATATTAATAATGATAATGATAATATTAATGATTATAATGATAATATTAATGATGATAATGACAATATTAATGATGATAATGATAATATTAATGATAATAATTATAATATAAATGACAACATTGATAATGATAATGATAATAATGATAATGATAATATTAATGGTAATTATAATATTAATGGTGATGAAGATGAAGATAATATTAATGATGATAATGATAATATTATTGAAATATATTACCTCTGGAAATGAAAAGAATTCTAACACCTTCTCTCCTGTATCCATACAATTATGTGGATCCATGGCCTTAACACAGAATTTATTAACATTAAAAGGTTTAAAGTGTATTGTTGTGACTGTGAGCCAGCCATGAAATTATCCAAAGGGAGGATTAGATGAAATCACATATACAGTCACTTTTATCTAACCAGCTGAGCAATGAGCATTGGTTGAAGTTTTACAGTGCAGAAAGAAAAACAAATTTAAGATTATAAAATATGTTTTAAATGCATAGGTTAATAACAATACAGATAGAACACTAGATGACATCTTTTTAAGATTTAGGGGATTTCGTTCACAATAACCATACACAGTAGCGCGCATGCTCTCTGTCTTGACATTCAGCGCGGCATGCGCGTAACTCCGTTGGTCGCCTCAGGATTATTGTGAACGAAAACCCCCTGACTCTTCAAAAGACAACATCTAGTGTTCTATCTGTAGTGTTATTAATCCATGGTTTTATGTAAAGTAGATTACTTTGGTTTTATTCAAGTTGAGCAAATAAGACATCGGCTCTGCAGAAAGCCACGTCAAATCTAAAATATGTTTTATTTTTCTCTAATTATTATTTTTTCCTGATAAATATAATTTTTAGTCCGATCCTTTGGGTAAAACTTAAAATTCAGGATAGATAGCCCCCCCCCCCCTCCCGTATATCCTGGATAGACCTAAAATGAAAATTTAGAACATTTAAATCAGACAAACACCTTATAAGATTATGATAAGTAAATTTCATTCTCCCTGAGAAGAAATGTATTTCACCTGTTCCATTGCAGCTAATGTTTTCAACCCCTTGCCATTGGTTGATCATCAATGCCTCAAAGGCGTAGTAGTACCAGGACAGATATTTCAACCATCGCAGGTATATTGGGATACTCCTTAATAATCCTTTCAATGAAGACGACTTTCGATTTTAATATTGATTCTCTCCAAGCTTTCGAAACAGCATTGATAGACATAAACTTGTAAACAAAGAGAAGCTGTCAATTAAAAGCTTTTCTTTATTTACTTATAAACTTGAAATAGATTAAAGCTTGTTAGAGAAATCAATCTTAAATAGAAAAGTTCTTTTCATTGTTTTGAAATAAATTGTAAAATAGGAGGGGTGGTGAACCTTACCTCGTATTAAGGTAAAAACCGCCAACTATCATTAGAGGGGTGGTGAACCTTACCCCGTATTAAGGTAGAAACCCCCAACTAGCATAAGAGGGGTGGTGAACCTTACCCCGTATTAAGGTAGAAGCCCCCAACTAGCATAAGAGGGGTGGTGAACAAGGAGGTAAGAGATAAAGCAATATCAAGTCGGAAAGCACAGGACATCAAGTAACCTAAAACCGAACTAAACATTAAAATTTTAATCTACGAGCATACCTACAGGTAAACCAATAAAACTGTGGATAAGAAAGACGACATTTATGCAACTTTATTGTTATGTTGATATATAAAGCAAAAGGTTTCACCAACTAGTGCAGTTAAAAGAATTTTTGCACTACAATACACTGCATAAGTGTCGTTTTCATGTATATTGGAATAGCTAAAATCTTAACTTTGTCACACACTGTGGAAATATGACTTTTAGGCATATAAATTATGATTTAAAAAAATAATAAGTGATTTTTTACCTACATGAAAAAAATATTTGCTTTGTAACATACAAAATACAATTTAATATTCATTTAATGTCGTCTTTCTTTTCCAGAGTTTTATGGTTCTGGCTGTACATCAATTGTTTTTGATTAACTTTGCACAAGTTATGCATTTACAGCTATATATTTATTAATGATTTTCAGTTTTTTTCTAATAATAAATTAGATCTAAAATATGTTTATAATCTGTACTTACCAACCCCCACAACATCCTGGGTGAGGAGTATAGTGATATATATGGATGAAAAGAATCTGTTCAGATCTAAAAAGATGTCGTTAAGGTGGTGACAAGAATTTCTGCGATAAAAGAACTGATATCTGTTCTTAGATACTTCAAGTTTTGATAAGGTTTGAGACAAGAGTCTAAGAGTTTAGACTAGAGTTTAAGGTTCGGACTCGATGCTAAGGTGTTATAGACTAAAGATTAAGGTTTGGACTCAAGGCTAAGGTTTTAGACTCGAGACTAAAGTTTTAGACTCAAGACTAATGTTTTGACTAGATGCTAAGGTTTTTGACTCAACACTACAAGATTTTAGACTCAAGACTAAGGATTTAGACTCGAGGCTAAGGTTTTAGACTCAAGACTAAGGTTTTAGACTCAAGACTAAGGTTTTAGACTCAAGACTGAGGTTTTGACTCGAGGCTAAGGGTTTAGACCTGAGACTACGGTTTAAGAATCAATGCAAAGGCTCTGGTCTTTAGACTAAGGTTTTAGACTTCAGAGCTGAGATATTAAAAGCTTAAACCCGAGTAAAACCAGGCTTATTAAAAGACTTGAGCGCAAGTAAACCCCAAGTCAGGATTAGTTCTGATTCGACCAATTAGAGACTGCTAAGAAAGCTTTCTCTCAGTAGCAGGCATATCAGCTGTGGTATGGAGATGTAAATTTCGTAAATTCGAATTAAATGTTATTTTCATAATATATTATACTTGATGAGATTTTAAAAGCTTAAACCCGAGTGAAACCCAGAGTTGGGCTGAGATAGAACCCATGTCAGGATTGGCTCTGATTTGACCAATTAGAGACTGCATAGAAAGCTTTCTCTCTGTAGCAGAAAGATTGCTAGTAGAGTGATAAGGAGATGTAAATTTCGAAAATTCGAACTTTACGTAGATATTTTATTTTTATAATATGTTTATTTCATACCTTTGATCAAATTTGGCACTACAAATAATGATCAAATTTGAAAGTACAAATAATTCCCAAGATTTTAAATGTACAAATACAATAGTTTTTACGAAATTTACGATCATTAGCTGTTGAAAACCAGAGACTTTAAGAGCGAAAAATACAATGCGGTTGGTTTTTACTAATCCCAAGGCTATCCAAAAGCCGAGTCTAGACTTGAGCTTTACATGGGTGTAGATGCTAAGACCGGGTTTTATTAGGGGCTTAAGCTTTTAAAACCTCAGCTCGATACTGAAGTTTAAGTTAGGTTTTATATACAGAAGACTAAGGTTTTACACTTGAGACTAAGCTTTCAGACTCAAGACTAATATAAGGTTTTACTCGGGACTAAGGTTTTATACTCGAGACTAAGCTTTCAGACTAAAAACTAATATAAGTTATTACTCAAGACTAAGGTTTACCTGGATGAAGGCCGGCCAGCCAGTAAAGAATAGACATGAATAAGACTGGCTGAATAACAAACAATGGAAACATAACAACCTTAAAAAAATATTTATAAGCTTTGCAATTTTTTTAGATAAAAATATAAAGCATATTATCATATTTGTTTGATTTAAACTGTAAGAACGTTTTTTATGCTTTACAAATCCACCAATTAAAACAGAAAAATAGATGAAATGTTTACGTTAATGACGTCCAAAGATTTTTCTTGTCAGAAAAAGTTCTGATTATATCGAAAAAGATCGAAACACACAACAAAACAAATAAAGGATGAAAGTAACCTGTTTAGCTATGAAGTAAGTGTCTACTCTATACAATCCATTATGGTGTTCACGCAGAAAAACAGGTATTTCTGAATTAGTTTCTGAATTAGTTTCTGAATTAGTTTCTGAATTATTTTCTGAATTAGTTTCTGAATTATTTTCTGAATTATTTTCTGAATTAGTTTCTGAATTATTTTCTGAATTATTTTCTGAATTATTTTCTGAATTAGTTTCTGAATTAGTTTCTGAATTAGATTCTGAATTAGTTTCTGAATTAGTTTCTGTATTAAAAAAATCTTTTAATTATGAAAAACAATTTTTATTTTAGAAAAAAATGGTAGTAATTAAAGTAATACTAAACACTTTTTATTCAATTTAGTAAATTTCTTTAAAGCTAGATACGCAGGGCGGGCGGGTTCAGTGATGGAATTACATTCTACACTACCAGATCGGTGCTTACAAACACCAATCCTCGAAGGTAATTTGGGTTTAACCCATTAATGACGAGACCATTAACTATTAGTGAAGTTGTTTTAGAAGGATCTTGTCATAACAATACTTGATTTTACTCATGAAAAAGCGATATTCAATTAAATTTTAAATATCTTTTTCTACAGAGTGACTTGTAAAACATGAAAATCTAAAAAACTTTGTAAACCTTTGAAACAGGAATACGATTAAAAGACTAATGTTATTTTAATAGTCCAATAAAATAAAAAAGCAAAAATGTAGTGTTTTCTCCAAAACATCATATTACTCCAATCGTTTCATGATTCGAGTCGGTACAACATGTACTTTATACGCATTCAGTTGCACTGTCCAGTCTGAACTACCCAGTGAAAATTCGACCCATCACGTTTAATACAACAAATGTATCCTGTATCCCTTGTGCACAGCATCAAATACAGATTAAATTACTGAAATGTCGTCTTCCACAATATTCACAATTCACTGTACACTAGATCCTCTCTGTCTCACCTGTAGAAAATATTGTCATGATAGGATACAGGTTCATGAAGGAGAGGTTTATTACAGACACAAACAGTGCTCCGTTAATATTCATTATACCAAACTTATCCAGCTTCTGATCGTAGTAGATAGCTCCGAACATCAGGGCAACCAGCTTAATTAAATCAAATGGTTTAAAGGGATTGCATAGTAGTAATTTCAACCATTCACAACGGTACCATTAAACGGTTCCATGATTTCTCTTTAAAATTTACTATTTTTAATCGTGGCCTCTTTAAAGAAACTAATCTTCGAGCCAGAAAAATGTCAATGTCTTCCAAAATATTAAAGTGTACGATTGTGAATAGAGCATGTGGCACTTTTTAGGAAATGAAGCATTTCGTGAAGATGACTTCAAAAAAAGTATTTTGGATTGAAAACTAAAATTTTACTGATATTAATTGGTTTATAATTGAATCACAAAAAATACCGTTCTTTTGAAAACAACTATATTATTACCAGTGTCTGCAAAATCTTGGCTGTGAACAGTTTAGGATCTCTCTTGAATATTAGCGTATTTCTCCAGAGCAAGGCAATAAGCTGCATGAACCAAGTTGCTTGGTAGAGATTAGGCTCTGTGTACACAACAAGGTTGTATGATAAGGGTCCTTACTCCCGATGTGCTCAAATGTACTAAAATTGTCATCTCCTTGCATAGATAGATAGAATCCGTATATGATGTCACTCACGCCTCTAAATCAGTGACGTCATATACGGATTTTATCTACCTATGCTTAGGAGACGACATTTGCTGTAATTTGGAGCGCATCGAGATGAGAAAGCAACCTTATTATACAACCTTGGTAAACACTCTGCTCCTCTTGGAACTCCGATGGTTCCATAGCAATCATAATATTCAAGGAGTTGAGATATTCAGTACACTCCTAAATATTTAAACATTCAATTTAAATTATCACATTGGAGTCATAGGCTCACCCTGGAAAATTGTTCACCTCTAAAGTATTAGAGGGAGCTACGAAACGATCGAAGTTTTTGCTCTGAAAATGTTTCCTTTAAAAAATCATGTTCAGATGAAAAATAGCACCCAAAAAAATTTACCCTCCAACCCCCTTTTTGTTTATATATATAATTATTTAATTATTTATAAATAAAAATCTGGAAAAATACCTCAAATGCTGAGCAGATTTTGTTTATATCCTTTTCCGCTAGCAATTCTCTAAACGGGTCTTGCCTTTTAATTGATATAATTTGGATAATTTAATTTTGATCAGATTTTGATTAACTTAAAAATTTACATAAATTGATAATTATGTATTTGATAACAAGCGAAATTGAACAGCATGAGTTGCAGTTAAGGAAACATTTTAATTCAATTTTTTACCTCTAGAGTCGCATTCGCATAGTATCTTAAATTTTCGAAGAATTATATTCATTTATATCCTACAAATGTTCTTTTAAAGAAAAAATCATCGTAATTTAATAAAAATGAAAAATCTTTGGCTCGAGCCGTAATTCCTAAAACCCAACTTTAAGACCCAATCTTCGACCCAACTCTGACGACAGCTTGTGTCACGTGATTGACAGCTCCAAGATCTTCCGATAATGAAACCGACATTGGTTGGTTTTAGTGAAGAATAAGGACAATGTTGAGTCTTGTTCTCATAAAAACCCGGAATGCACCATTTCCTACTAGAAAACACGCCAATAAACTCAACTCTGTGCAAAATAAGATGCAGCTTGAATCAGAAAGCTCAAGCTGTAATTAAGGCCCAACGACAACTTAGACCCGTGCAATATTTTCCCGAATTTTTTAATTGAAGGCTCTGTACTAATATGTGCATATCTAAGGCTACAAAACAGTATGGTTGAGTTGAGTTAAAAACCGAAACTAAAGCGCGGCGGTGCAATGCTTAGACCAAGTCCTGAAAATGTATGCAACTTTTTATAAAAGTCTGTATCTCAGGGGTGGAGGAGGATGTGTATGCTTTACTTTTATTAAAAGAGATAATTCCTTTTATGATGAACAGCGAGAACATCCAGGAAATGGTCTGCAGGATTATAGTTCCATGGACATGGAAATCCGCACCTTGCATAAAAAAACACATTAAATTGTAAAGAGAAAAAAAGAAAAAATTAAACAATTTTGCGCATTTTTAAATATTAAATGGAACTTTTATTTTTTAATAGACTTAAGTATAATTTCAATAAGATTTGGTAAAACTTTCCTAAAATTAAACCATTTAAAAACAGAAACATTTAATAATTTGCAAATGAATAAAATAACAGTATAGAATAATAATAAAAATAGCATTTTGTTTAGCTCTTATACCATGCTTTAGTAATTATCCAGGGTTTTTAACCCAAAATAAAATTGATGCCTGACCTGGTAAAGAATTCGACTGCAGAAGCTGGGTTACCATGGAAAGCAGTTTTACCCTTGGCCATGAGTAGAAGACGATCAAACTTTGTGTAGATCTGAGAAGAGGGCTGAGTATATTAATAATATTTGAAACAAAATGAGAAGGCTCTCGACCAACATTTTATTTGGATTTTACTAACACGATCCTTTCGCACAGAATCTATAATAAGAAACAATCGTGTTATAGAATTAAAATGTATATGCCTTGGGCTGCATCAATAAACACATGCCACACAAACACAAAACACAAGGCAAGGGCGTTCAGACATCTCAACGTCGAACCTCAGCTTATACTACAAAGAGTTTAATAGTAAATTTTTCCTTTTTCCACAATTTTATGCATGAAATTCAAATTATAAATGAAACTATTATCAACATTTTCTGTCATCACATTTGATAAAAGCTAAGAGCTAAAAACTAAATTATGAAAGTTTTCTTGTGCCAGTAGAATACAAAACATCAAAATTCCTCATCGGAAAATAAAATGGTTTTAAAAACAATTAAAAAAATGTTCATTGTAAAACGCAACATATATGTTCCCTATAGCCGGCCAAACGGCTGGACCGAATGGGCTGATTTTTTTTTGAGGGAATCCATGGATGCCCCGGGGGTGACATAGGCTAAAGAAAATTCGATTTTTTAAATCGAAATTTTTTAAATCGAAATTTCTTTATCTTCAAAAATCCAAACTTTTTTGTTCAAAATTCGATTTAAAAAAATTCCACGCTATGCCAGGCCCTTCAGCTAGTATTATATATTATGTAAACTAAAAATATGTGGTTTTGATACAAAAATTATAAAAATTGTATGTGCAGTGGACCTTACCCCCTGCAAATCCACCGCTTTTTTCTTGGCAATCACAACACTCGCTTTTTGCACTCCCCCCCTTGGTAAATATCTGGCTACGGGCATGGACCCAGCTTGTTTAATGCAACAAATCTATACTGGCAGGTTAGAGGGAACAAGTGTTGCTTAATAGATCTCATTTAATAAAATTCCAAATATTTTCCTGATGAATTGTGCAGACCACTGTACGCCCTTGTCTTGCCAGGTTTACAAGAGATTCTATCACACTGAAAATATTCAGAATTGACAACTTTTGAATTAATGGAATAAATTCAAATCGATTTAAACTCGTTCAGTACATATTCTCTAATTCAGAAAGAATTTGAATTTGGCAATTTCAAAAAATTGAAAATCGCAATTGCAATGCACTAAATTTACCATCTGAAAACCTAATAATTGCCGGAAGACTCAAATGTTGTGGCTTATGGCGTCGGAAGACAAAAAAGCTTGTATGTGGCAAGGAAGGGGAAAATGTTGTAGCTTATGGACACCTGCCCTCCCCCCCCCCTTGTAACAGAACATTTTTTGGGGATAAAATAAAACTTTTGTGATACAGTATTTTCCATTTTTGGAAATATATAAAAACTGTAACAATCTTAAATTTTCTAATCCCTGTATCTTTAAAGGCTGATATTTCAAACTCAGGCTATTTGATCAAATAGAATTTACAGTTTGAAATATCAAAGATTTACAATGGTTGCCGAGATATAGGGATTAGAAAATCTGAGTCTTTAGCAAGGGCTCATGGTTCCTTTAACACGTGGATTTGAGAGATGACATTTCTCATCATTTTACCTATTGGCCATAAAAGAGTCAAGGCCACTGGTTGGCTCGTCACAGAATAGGATTGGAGGATTAGACAACACCTGAAAGGAATAAATTCTTTGTAAAAAATCCATAATTTTTTATTATTATTTAATAAAAAGCTTTTTTTCAGTGGAGGATTTTATAAACTGAATTTTTTGTTTTTTGATTATACATTTCGAAAAATATATAGGCGCAGAATTTCTTCTGGAGTACTAGGGGCTTAGGTTTCCCAGCCATCGTTCATCTAAGATTTTTCTCAGATTGTTCCACAAAAGTGCTGATCCAGCATCAATATCATAACCTCAGTAATTTAACTTATTAAACTCAATTCCTTCAGGATCAAGAGTTGACTTCGTGACTTTTGAATACCAGACATTAATTCCTAAAATGGCCATCCTAGTGTTTCCTGGGATAAATTAAACGAATAAATTTAACGTTTTATATTCATGAAGAATTTCAGACAAAATCGAATGTTCTCACATTTTGGTTGGATGAAGCCTTAGAAATTGAGGTTTTCATAAAATTAAGAAAAAAATGATTTATGACTAAGTGAAGGTCCTGGCGTTGCCCGTGGAAAAAAAAATTTAAACACCCCCTAGCCACCCATGAATGTCCACAAAAAAATTTCAGCCCAATCGTTCCAGCCGTTTGGCCGGCTATACACAAGGAATGTCTTGTTTTATTATATAGATAAATAGGAGATGTAATTGGAATAAACTTTGAAAAAATGCTTTATGTTCAACTCACATTTGACTTAAAAATTTTTCCTAAATTTTTATAAATTGGAAGTTTATTGTATACTTTAATTTACAATTCATTTGAATTACCAGCCCGACTTTTAGGCCGCTAAGGCAAGTTGTACGGTATTCATAAATACTGAAGAAGCCAACTTGGGACAGTACAGCAAACAAATTATTTTTTTTTGTGATACTACTGTGTTTGTTTGAAATTTAGAATACTTTTTGTATTGCATGATTGGGCGTTTGTTTGTTTGTTTTTATTTCAATTAATGTCAGAACTTTGAGCCTCCTGCAGGGTGGTTTGTGGCCGATTAGAATTTAAAAATATAATTTCAAAGTTGCTTTTTGCTATTCAAAATTCTCCCTTTTCTGTCTTTTTGCAGTACAAAAATATCTGAAGCAACAACAAAAATAAAAAGTAAATATCTCTAAGGGGAGGTTTAGAAGCCATGTAATATTTTCTTCTTAATTAAGTTCTTCTTCTCAAAAATTTTACTTCGGTATTTTAAATTCCAAGTTTATGATGTTAATTGTTAGCAATGGACTAGATTTAATTCGGCTAGTTGTAAATATATGTATGGTTCAAACATTTTAAGTTTACAATTTTGGAATTCAAAAAACATTAAAAAGGGAAATTTCATTCAGTGAATGTTGAAAAGTGTTAAAACAATTAAGAAAGATATATTTCCAAATATTAGTAAGGTTTAGGAAAAATTCAATCGCAGAGTTAGACTTCATGAAGCATAAATAAAGACACTTTTTTTTAAAAAGTGGTTCTTACATAGTTGGGACATACAGGGTTACCCACAAATGATGAGAGAGAAGATTGTACAGAATTTTTTTAGGCCGTTTTCTTACATTCAAGGTTCCTTGTAGGCTAATTGGCTTTTGTCTGTGCTTAATAATATTGTGAATCATCAAAATACTCAATTTAATGCAGAAACCAAAAATCAATCTTCAAATTGTCAAATATCTAGAGTTTTGGGTCGTCTTTACAGTCTCATCCTTTGTAAGTAACTCTGTATAATTGAGACTTGGAATTTGATTTTCAATATTGGAGAAACCCTGACGTTTTTAGTCAGTTACAAAATTTAATTGTTTTTACATGATAGTTAAAGGGAGTGACCGGCTAAAAATTATACAGTAACCTAATTAGATGGTTAGGAACATATTTCATAAAAAAAATTTGTCTATAAATCAATGATAAATCTGTTATTTCGTTTTCATTATTATATTGAATTTCTTATCTTCTTTGAATTTATTCGCAGATTTGTTAAAATTCTTCAAATGTCGTCTTTTCAATGATAATTATAGAAAATCTGCAGAAAATCTTTGTGAATAAGGAGAAACCAGAATAATGAGAAAATAGAAACTAATAATTGAACAAGATTACTTATTTTGATGGTAAGATTGATTTTTATTTTCTCTACATGTTCATATACATGACGTTTGTAGTTTATTGTAGAACCTTTTTACATTTTATGTCGTCGTTATTTAATAATTTAAAAAACTAATTCTGAAAACGTATCCACCCCCCAAAGTAGGAGTTATGAACGTCGAATTTGCGCTCAAACTCGGGATTTACAGATCTTTAAAAATTTAATATGTCTCAAATGAATCTGAAAGAAGTTTTCCACAACACTGCATACTCAGTTCAACTACCTTGCATCCCTTTAAATTAGCAATTACCTCACATGCAACAGCTAATCTTCTTTTCTCTCCTCCAGAAATTCCCTCGAAAATTGAAGAAATAATTTTTCCATAATTCTGATAAATTAATTTTAATTTACCTTAATTCTGCCAGGTATCCCAATAACAGTGTTTTCAGATTTTTTTAGACCAAGCTGAAGAACAATATTAATATTGTAGGAATAAGAGGACATTTAAAATTCAAAATATGATCCTCAGCAAGGTTTTTGGTAAAATTAACACTTTTTCTGCTTTGGAGGAGGTGGATCCGGGTTAAATGTATTTAGTTAATTGGTTAATTTTTAAATCATGACCTTAATTTAAAAATGCTGTATTTAAAGTAATAATTTGGGATATATTTTCACCTCTTGTAGAACTTGATCCACTCTTTTCATTTTTTCAGCTAATGATATATTTCCATCCATTCCAACCATTGCCTAAAAACAATTTTTGATAATGGCTCTAGTAACTTAGGTTAAGCAAAAAATGGTTTTTTGAATCTAAATATTTATATTTCCAATTGTTATAAAGTGAACAATTTGATTACATATTGTTTTACATTTATAGCATTTTTATATATTTATATTTCCGTTTCTTATAAACCTGACAATTTGATTACATACTGTTTACATATTTAGCATTTTTATATATTTATATTTCCGTTTCTTATAAACCTGACAATTTGATTACATACTATTTACATATATAGCATTTTTATATATTCATATTTCCGTTTCTTATAAACCTGACAATTTGATTACATACTGTTTACATATATAGCATTTTTATATATTTAGATTCTAGATTGTACAGCGATTGTGAGAGCTTTGTGTTTGCGGATTGATTTATTTTTCTTTTAAAGATTACATTATATTATGTTTGCTGAAATTAATACTTTTGTGATACAGACTATTAAGATAAGTATATGCACGGTGATGTTACCTTGCTTGTTGACATTAAAAAACATTCACATATTTCGTATTACCATTAAAATCTGACATAGTTTTCCTTTGAGTACTTATAGAGCATAGTTAAGTATGAAGTACCATACGTGAGACATACATACTGACATGTTTATTGCAATAAATAGTGGTTTACTCCTTTGCAAAGATCAAAGGGTGATCTTTGATTATGGAGTGTCGACCATTGAAAAATACAATGCCAAAAGTTACTGTGGAGTATTAATGTGTTAAAATTGTTAAATACTTAGTCCAAAGAGCAGATTAATTTTTCTGTGGAATACTATATTGCTGGATTGCATACACTGTTAGAAATGCCATTTTGTAAACATTTTCTAACAGTGTATAAACTGTATAGGAACACGACTAGGATACAATTAGTTATCTTTCATGTTCCCATTATTAAATTATAGTCTCTTATTAAAACGTTTGTCTCTAGATGGACTTTTTCTTCTAGTTTTCTCATTTCTTCTCATTCTCATACAGGTTCCTTAGCTGGGCGTTAACTATGCAAATCCGAGCTTAGTGTCAGATCGTTGATTTCCCTCCAGTACAGAGAAATCAAATCAAAAATAAATGTTATTCGAATTTGTTTGAAAACAAACGGAAAATATGTTTACTAAAAATCGCTAATGAACAAACTTCGTTAACTTTTGTGCACAATCCAAACTTTCCTGAATGAACAGAAATAATTGTCTTTTTGTCAACTGTCAGGTAAAAAAAAGAAGAAAAATGGCCAGCCCACTGTCAAACCAGTCTGACTTACATGCTGCTTTAGACAAAGCTTGGTTGGGAGAATTCGTTACTTAGACTTTTTTTACTTCACCTGAAATTATGGTTTCCATTTTTCTAAATAAAAAAAATCTAACTCTTGGATGCTGTACACAAATTATTAAGAAAAGGTTGAGGAACAATAAGTCGGAATCAATATATTTAATAATTGTCTCTTTAACTTTTCCTATTTCTGTGTAGCATCTGAATAGAGTAAATTTATAAAAAAAAATAAGTCAAAATGTATTGCCCTTAATTTCCAAAAGATTTTTATGGTTTTTCATTTTCAACAGCTTCAGGAAAGGTGCCGTTAGCCATTTCCGGAACCAAGTTTAGAGACCCTACCTGGAACATAAGATGTTCTCTGATAGTAAGTGAACCAATGAAGAGTTCATCTTGATGAACATATCCAGAGATTCCTGTCATCATCTGAGGGGTTACATGGTGCCCATTAGCTGTCCAAGATCCCTCAATCTTAATAGAAATAGACATAACATGCTTGCAGTTGCACTTTGCCTTCTGGGTGGCAAAGGTATTTTGTTTAAATTTATAGGGAAGGGTGGGATGTTGGGGGATTTAAATTCTATTAGGTATCTTTTTTACAGAGTGCACACACCTAGCTGTAAGTAGATTAACAAATTATAACAGTTTAACTATTTCCATTCCCATTATGATGTTGAAACATGTTCTTCTTGGGTCTAATCTAAACGGAAAACCTTTATGGAAACCTCTTTTCAAAGATGGTAAGTCTTGATTTACAATGGTACCCTTAAAAGATTTGTCGGAACAAGTTTGGATTAGTTATCAGTGTTTATAATTTTAAAAACTAATTAATTGTATTGATATACGACGAGGATTGTACCTGTACATCTTGTTGGTTCCTGTGTGTCAGGGTGTTAAGAAGTGTTGTTTTACCAGCTCCACTTGATCCCATAATAGCCAGGAACTCACCAGGAAGGGCAAACCCAGAAACTGCAGTGATTTTTATTTAACGTTTACTTTTATCATTTATGATTATTTCTTTTAATTCACTTTCTTTATACTATAATTGTTAAAGCACTGTGCTTTTATAGAGTTTTTTTGGTTCCTGGATTTTTTGTTCAGCTTTTTTAAAAATGAATTGAATAAAAATTTTAATTGATGGTATTTATACATGTTATTTCTAGAAATAATCATTGTGTCAAGAAAAGTACAAAACATTTTCAAAAAGTTTTGAATTTTAGAAAAAAAGAAGAAAAAAACACCTATGCCTCTAAAATTGTATCTGACATATCTAATTGCATTTGATTTATAGTAAAGTATGCAAGATTAAGAGCAGTTAATAAATGACAAAAAGGACGATTGTAGTGTTTTTTTTCATGAAATAAAACGATATGTAAAATTCACAAGAGAATGCTTTGTTGCAGAATAAAGGTTGATTTAACACAATAAAATATCTGGCATTGATTGATGATTATAAATGATTCTCATCTAATGTTTTGCATCGTAATGTTTTAGTCATTAATGAAACACTTGTAAGATAAAGCTATTAAAAGATAAGAATTAAAAAATTCATTTTAAATTCATGTTCACATATAGTTACTTTAAAAACTTTTCACCTTTCATTATTAATTTTTATTCTTATAATTTCAGAAAAATTATGAATTATTTATATTTATCAAAGATGATTTTAAAAGCAATGGCAACAGAAATTTACCCAAATAGCAGAATAATGATTAGTATGTGCTAAAATTTGGTTACAAATTTACAACATGGGCTTAAACTTCCAATTTTATCTTATCATTTATAGGAATAGGATGCTTGATGTCTTGCCAAAATAAAGCTAAAATTGTGATTTTGCCATGTATCTCATTTGCAATAAAAATACTAAATACTTTTCAAACAACAAATTTTTGAAGAAAGTAAGTTTTTGTTGAGAGTTATGCTTAAAAATCCCAAACAACTTTCAAATACACAGACAAGACGATATTCTGTGACATCTTGATCAGATTAATCAAGCCTTATGGTTTGGAGTATAACAGCTGTTGCCAAATTGTTAGTTTTAAGTTGTTGAAATTTTTAGATATTTACCATTGTCTAGTAGTTTAACATCATGGACTCCATTCTTCTTTCCCTAAAAGTAAGAAGGAATTGAGTCATTGCAACAAACTCAATTTTTTAAATTCCTATATCTTCGCAGCAAGCCTGATGTTGCAATTATCAAAGGTTTACACCATCAAGTTGCAAAGATGTAGGGTTTCAGCATTAGAATTTGTGGCAACAACTCAATTCCTTTGATGACTTGTCACTTGCCATAGGTGTAGAGAAAAACTTTTAAACCGTTCCAAGATAAAATCCTCATATGTTGTTACTGATTGTAGGGGGGATAGTGACCTCATATACAGATTATATCCATCTAAAGGAGACAAAATTTCTCATTCATTGGAGCGCATTGAGAGTAACCTACCATATTATACAATCTGGGGTAAGATTAAAGTGATGAGACGGATGATAATGAATATATGATTTTATTGCGATTATGTCTTTTAAAATCTGTTTAAGAAGATCACAAAAAACAAAAAATGTTAAAAATCAAATATATATATAAAGTTTTAATCTCTATTTGTCTGTATGTTCGATCATAACTCAGGAACCCCTTGACAAATTTGTCTCAAACTTTGATGGGGGAATATTGGAAAACCATATAAATATTTTGATGGGGGAATATTGGAAAACCATATAAATATTTTGATGGGGGAATATTGGAAACCATGTAAATATTTTGATGGGGGAATATTGGAAAACCATGTAAATATTTTGATGGGGGAATATTGGAAACCATGTAAATATTTTGATGGGGGAATATTGGAAAACCATATAAATATTTTGATGGGGGAATATTGGAAA